CCCTTCCACCCATTCAATTCACCCTCTTTCTAAAACGATTTCTTATGAGGCAATAATCAATATATATATTTATGGACAAATTTTAACTGATTTTGCGCCACCACCCCCTCCCCCCGCGCGCCTGTGCCCCTAGCGGGGACCCACCTCACCACCCCCTAGCTACGGCCCTGGTTCTACGGCTCTTTTTTGTGGGAGGGGAGCATTTGCAAATCAAAGAAACTGAGGTGGGCACCACATACATATTGCTGCTCTGCCAAACCCCCCTCCCCCCCGGTATAACCCCCCTGAAATCAACCCCAACCCCACATTCTTTGGCTAAACAAGGCTTCTTTCAAAGCAGTCCCAGCCTGCATTGCCAAGGATGACAGGAACTCTAGTCCAGCAACATATGGAGGGTACTGCGTTTGCTATCCCTGTGCTCGGAGTTATGTGAGAATAAATATTTCCTTGGTGTTATGTACTGAGTTGAATAGGATCCAAACTGCAGCAGTCTGATTGGTCCTAGAACAATAGGATCCAAAATGCAGCAGTCTGATTGGTCCTAGAACAATAGGATTCAGAATGCAGCAGTCTGATTGGTCCTAGAACAATGCAGCAGTATGATTGGTTGGCAGGAACCACCCAATCCTGCTCCAGATAGAAGTGAATCCACAACCTTATTGGCTTACAGTAGAATTCCGGAATTAGCCAATCATGTGCAGCCCATTGTGTAAATGTATATAAAGCAGATACTGTGAGGGGACATTCATTCATTCCTCCTCACCACTATGAGCTGAATAAAGAGCATGAAATCGCTTTGCGACTCTGAGTATATTTCACTTATCTTGAAAGATGTAGTTGACCGCTAGTCATTCTATGACCTGCTTTCTTGGCTTTTGCAAAGTGACCCGGTGATTACATACATGTGAAAACGCTCAAGCCAAAATGTCCATCCATGCATATTTTCCCTCAAATATGTAAGCAGGACCCCAGAGCAGCTAGAATCTTGCTTGCCATGCATTTCAGAATTATAAATGTGGAAAATCTCTCTTGACGTGCTATGAGACACCTGTCTTTTTCTGTACTATCCCAGTAGAGCTCTTGAGAGAATTCAAGCCAGAGTAAAGGCAGCATCAAACAATTTCTCTCCTCTAACTTTAAGCTATGATTGGCAATAGTAAGACTTTGTTTTCAATAATTTGTTGCCCTAGAATCAATGAATGTATGTTGCATCCATCCTAACCATTTAATTTCAAACTGGCATCCTCCATTCACTTACTTTGAAAAATCGAGAAAATCCGTTTGTAATATTGTCAGCTTGTTCCATTTCAGTGTTGTCCTCTCTATTTTTAATTGCTGAATAGCTCTCTCTTTCTTTTTTGCAACGAAGGGGTGGGGGGTCAAGGAAACCCATAATTAAAACACCCCTATAAGGGAAAATCACCCATTATGTCTCAGCCACAATGAAGAGAAGACAAGAAGATGCAAGAGGAAGTGTCTAAATAACACTGAAGGAGATCTTAGCTGAATAGGATGGACTTCTTCAGGAAACCGTATAAAAGTGTCATCAAAATTCTTTTACTTTCCAGATGTTTTCAACATGGAGTTCCAGAAAGTGCTTTCATTTTTTCATTAGTGTGTATGCTGTGTCATTGATTCAAATATGCTAACTTTGACTTTACCCTTACCAGCTTGATATAAAGCCATACTAATAATTTTCCTTGTGTGCCATTGCAAACATGCATTACAAAATGACTATTTAATATATATCTAAATGTGCAGGAAGAGGAAACAGTTTGTATACACTCCTGCTACTTTTCCTGGGGCAGTTTTTATTTCCTTAGCAATGAAATATTTATCCTGGGGCATCTGGAGACAGATGTGAAGTATACAGGAATAAGAAGACAGTACGTTGATACTGAAGTGATAAACTGTGTGCAGCCGCAATGCCGGCTAGCATCCGAAGCTAAATCTAGGCCATGTGGCTGAAAGTTATCAACCATGATATTGGAAGCAGTTACAGGAGAGGATGATAGTTCTGACTTTGGCATCCATCACTGACTGCGCTGAAATGCCATTATTCATCAGGGAACGAGCCTTCTCTCTTTTTCAGGCCTAAAGTGGGTTTTATCCATGAACATGGCTGTCATTACTTTTATTATTTATAAAGTGCCATTGGCAGGGTTTTGTTTTGTTTTAAAGGCAGCTACTCAACAAAGTTTAAAATATAAAACTAGATAAGGAAGAGAGGCAACAAATTGAAAGTGTAACAGGAAGAAGATAAAAGTTACATGTTTTGGATAGGTCAAATCCCAGGGCTGTGAGTTCAAATCCTTTGTTGGGCAAAAATTCCTGCATTGCGGGGGATTTGACTGGATGACCCTTGCGGTCCTTTCCAATCTTATGATTCCATGAAAGACAGTGAACGAATGTGGGTCTGTGGACATGAGATCACTGTGGTGTACCAGTTAAGGTGCTGAGCTGGATCCCAGGAGGCCAGAGTTCAAACTGCTACTCATTTATGAAGCTCACCATTTATTTATTTATTTTGTAAAATTAATACACAGCTTGATTGTATTGATTGTCAAACAAACAAACAAACAAAGCCATTTGCGAAAATATAAAATAGTAAAACCAAGGGGGAAAATAGAACCATACTTTAAAACATACAGAAGGCCGAGGGCTTTCCGGCGGTTCCCTCATTGCGAGAAGTGAGGTTACAGGGAACCAGACAGAGGGCCTTCTTGGTAGTGGCGCCCACCCTGTGGAACACCCTTCAGATGTGAAGGAAATAAGCAGCTATCGTATCTTTAGAAGACATCTGAAGGCAGCCCTGTTCAGGAAAGTTTTTAATATTTAATGCTGTACTGTTTTTAACATTTGATTGGGAGCCACCCAGAGTGGCTGGGGAAACTCAGCCAGATGGGCAGGGTATAAATAATAAATTATTATTATTATATTATATAAAAGCTAAAATACTAAAACAGATTAAAATTACTGCAATTTCCTTAGCGTCTGGGTAGGCTTGTCTAAAGAAGAGTGTGTTTAGCAGGTGCCAAAAAGAGCACAGTGAAGTCCTTCTCCATCTCAATAGGCAAGAAGTGTAGGGGCCACCACACAAATGATCAAGTACTTATTCATGAGGAACGGGTATAACATGGCACCTGTAACAGCGCCTATTCCACTGACTAAAGCGGCTGAGCAGGCGTATGTGTCTCATAGCTCAGCCAACTCAGGGAGTTGTTGTGAGGCTCAAATGTGGAGGTTGGAGAGCCATGTGCACCACCTTTAGCTCTTTGGAGGAAATATATGATAAAATTTTGTCGTCTGCTATATAATTTGGAATGTTGTTAGTTCGTTACATTTTCTTAAGATATTGCAACCAAATATTGCATGATGGTTCCTGTGATCAAGGAGCAGGGTATTTTTTGGTGGGGAGGTGTGTGGGTCTATGTTTGCTAACAGATAGACACCATGTGAACCATATGGCAGACTTAAACCTTCAAAACAGCACTGGTTTTTACCAAATATTGCATGATGGTTCCTGAGATCAAGAAGCAGGTTTTTGTCTGTGTTTGGATATGATTGGGAGCCATGTTGAATCAAGGTGACAGAATACACATTGTAAAATTGCAGTGATTTAAAAAACTAGTTTCAAAATTGCACTTTTGGGAGTTTCTGAGTATAGCCATGGAACATTGCTTACAATAGTGCTACTAATACATAAATAAGTAATATGGTCTTAGGAGACCACTTAATATTTTTTTCTGCCTGTTTTTAATTCTATTTTTTATTGGTTCTTTCATTTCTGATGTTGCATTTTTTTGTATTACAATTTGAATAGAATAAAGTAAAGGTAAAAGCTATTGAAAAGCAGCAAATCTGTGAAATGATTAAAAGTGGCAAAGCCTAAGCATCCTGTTTGTGACATGACAGCCATAAGGGGGAATCTGCAAATGTGAAGGAACAACAGGCAATTTATAGGCATCAAGATTTTGAAAGTGAAGGTCGCAGGTTTACAAAATGGAACAAGGACCACGAGAAAGCATTGAAGGTAATGGTGAGGAAAACAATGCAATATATATGGGGATATGTAACTATTAAACTTAGTCAGGAAATGCTTGATAAACTGTTTAATTAGCAAGGAAAGGAAAGCTGACCACCGTGCTGTGAAAAGGGTGTAAAAGTTCTGCGAGACAAAGGTAGACAGGCAAATGTTGCAGAAATCAAGACAACAGAAGACTTTTATACTACAGAAGGCTCTGATGGTAAAACTGCATATACAGACACATGGGCATAGCCAGGATTTTTGTTGGGGAGGGCAGGCCTTTTGTGTGTGGGGGGGCAGAACCTCAGTTAGCTATGGATTTTTATGGATTTTTTTTATTTAGGGTGGCTAGTTGCCCTCCCTGCCCCCCTCCTTGGCTACACCCATGTACAGACAGGAAGGATTTTTTAAAGTTAGGGAGCAAGAAATGGCTTGGAGAGCATTATTTCCTACGAGGTATTTGTATTTATCATAGAGGAGGCAAGAGTCATTACTTTTTTTCCTCATGTGTCAACATTGGGGTAGAGAGTTGGTGACCACATAACTGAAGGCAAATTTTAGTAAGTAGAAAGATATATGTTAATGTCTTGCTTAAAAAGCAAGGTATTTATTGCCCAGTTGAAGGGGAGCAGCAACAACATTCCTCAGATGAAAACAGGGACATTTCTCACTCCCCCCGACTGACCCTCTTCACCACCACCCATTTTTGGTTCCCCTGCCCACAGAGCATTTCCTATTGGACGAAGGGCGAATGCCATGAATACTGCACCAATGGGACACAGCACACACACCCTCCATTCTGAGAAAACTGCTTAAGCCTGATTTTATTTTATTTCATTTCATTCTTTGGTAGATTTATGAAAGGAAAAGCACACACCAATAAATACATTTTAGGAAGGAGCAAGATTAGGCACAGATGCACAAAGCATTTTAAAAAATCATCATCATCACCATCATCATCAAACCTTTATTGGCATCACATACAAACATTCAGAATAAATAGGCCAGTGCGATCTCATCGCCATTTCAACAGTACAGTCATTTGCCAAAGGGAAGAAGAGGCGAGCAATCTATTTCATCTCTGTGGGTCTCCAGCAAGGGCAGGATCCTGTAGCATACTTCGGCAACAAAAAAAAATCAAATAGAGGAATTTAGCTACTGTCTTGGTGAGCTCCTGGTCTCTCGCCTGTAATAAGAAGAGTATAACCTCTGTCTCTGGTTTCCATGTTTCCATGTTGGAATACATAGATGGTCTAGGAATTGTTGGCGGAGGTCATCATACATTTTACATTTAAGGGCCATGTGAGCTAGAGTTTCCACCAGGTGGGCATCACATGGGCAGATCCTATCTCCTACTGCCATACCCGCAAACCTACCCCAAAGGAGGTTAGAAGGATTAGAATTGAACCTAGCCAGCAAAAAAGCCCTTTTTTCTTGTGGGTTAAACAAAAATTGTAAATAATTAAGGTTAAATTTCCAAGAAAATAAAGAGGGGAACATGTTTTTTCCGCAGCTGAGATTAATTCCTGGCGATCTATGTCCCACAGCCTGGTTTTTAACATGGCCTTGGTGATTGGGAAAGCCACAGTGCCCAGGAGATCCTCTGAAAGCCCAAGTTGCTGTATCTTTTTGCAAAACAAGATTTTGCAAAAACAAGGGGGAAGGGAAGGAGTCTGACAGAACTTCGCTCAGTAAAGTATCTTTGTCTGCTGAAAAACAAATGTTTAGCCAGCATAAAAAATAATCAAGACTCCTTGTGCTCCGCTATGCTCCCCGTTTCTTCCCGTCCAGGACAGCCCTGCCCTCTTCCTACCGCTCAGAGCCAGCACATCATGTGGGACAGGGCCTCATTGGTGGCAGCCTCTCCTTCTTGCCCGCTTTCCAACAGCTGCTACAAACTGCCCAGGGGAGGAGGCTGGCAGCAGCAGCTATGGAAAGGTAACAGGATTCCCCCTCGCAGCCACTGCTCGGGACAAGCGTTGACTTATCCTCCTCCTTGAGCTCAGCAGCAGGGAAATAGGGACATTCCGGGATCAAATCAGAAGCCAGGATGGCTTTCGGAATTCCGGGACAGTCCCTGGAAAATAGGGACACTTGGGAGGGTATGCAACACGGCCAAATGGGTCTTTTGAAGGGAGATGTTCCAAATCTTAGGGGTAGGACATATGGGGAAGGGGCTTTGCATGCAGAAAGTTCCACCAATTGCAGGTGCAATTCGGCCTCAGTCATTGTACTAGCCTGGGGCAGTGCTTTCCAACTACTACACTAGCGAGTTCTCTCTGCTGAGCTGTTCTTTCCTATCCTGTGTTCCATATTTTTGTAGCTAAGGACTTATACATGCATTTGCTTATTTCATGCAACATCCCAATCCATTTTCCTGTTGTGCCATGTGTTTTCAGATTGTAAGACCAGGGGGTTTATTTAGTGGGCATTCTGAGATAAAAAATATTTATGTAAAATACTATGATTACCAGTCAGTCAACTTGAACAGCGTATTTTTATATGTTACTGTGTATGTATAGTCATGCTATAATTGAGTTCAGGAACAATTTTGCATTGTTTTATTTTATAGCTCTAAAATACAATACTTCACCAGCAACAGAACATACTAGGCTTACCGATGTTTGGAAAAATTCCTGTAATGTTTTTAGCTACTTATATGTTTCAAACTTCAATTAAAATTTTCCATATTTGCACAATTTAGTGGTCATCTCTGTGTACTCGTTTAGATATGGCAGCCATTTTGTGCTATGCCACATTTTTACAGCAGCCATTTTGTAATATGCCATGTTTCCCCCAACGGCAACCATTTCATGACTGATGCCCAAGGCACATTTTCAGAATTCTGAATTTGTCCATGGACCCAGAAAGGTTAGCAAACCTCTTGCATAGGCAATACTAAGCTAGATGGATCAATAGTCAGACTCAGTGTAAGGAACTTTTCCGTGTACCATGAATCAGAAGACCCTGCCTCATGTGCTTAGTACTGCCCTAAACTTCATGGATTACAGTGGGGGGAAATTAGACCTATGCTTTACTCACATTTTGAGAGCAATAGACCTTATTAGTACTGAACTCTGGCAACATTATACCCACATATGTACAATCGCCAGTTTTTAAAGATTAAAAGTTTTTTGTTTTGTTTTATAAAAAAACACCTCAAAAGTGAAAAATAACATCGAACAACTCTTTATTATTAATGGGGTTCTCACAAATTTCATGTATGAGGGGACTTCAAAGAGGCTGTAGCTCTGCCCCTGTACCAATGACCAATGTGCCAGCCATGCTCCAACAGGACTGCCAATTCAGTGGCAGTGTGCAGGGGCTCTACATTCACACTAATGTGTGGCTCTTTCACATATGCATGTCCCACTTTTCCACACGTGCTTTCAAGACATGGGTTTTATGTGCATCCCTTTATCTTTGTAGTTTATGGCACATCACATATATATTTCACTCAAATTCTAATGATGCAGGTTAAAACCACCTCCAGCAGCAGAAAACTTCCTAACTAGAGAGTCAAATCAAGCTAACGACATATTGTATTGCTTCCTTTATCGAGTCAAAAGGTGCATTTATCATATTCAGCTGATAAAAGTGGTGATAAATGTACTTTATATCCAGAAGAAAGATTGGTTACCAACATAGTCAGTAGTAACTTACAATTTTTCCATCTTAAAAAGAATATTGTTCACTTCAGAAAAGCTCATTTTTCTCCCTGTTGCAGGAACAATGCCAAGAAGAAAAATAGTAATTTCATCCATAACTCAGGGATGAAGAAACCGTGGGCAGTCAAATGCTGTTGAACTGCAACTCCCATCATGGCTGACTACTACATGTGGGTTGATGGGGGTTTGGAGTCCATCTAGAGGGCCACAAGTTCCCCATCCCTATCTTTTCTCCACTGACTTTCTTCCTGAATATACCCTAGATACCTTTGCTTTTGGAATTCTACATTCCTCAGGTTCATGGCTGTAAAACCATTACCCTACCCCTTTCTCCTGGAATGCCCTCCTACACCATCTGTGATTCTACCTCCATCCTCCTTTTCCAGGCTGATCATTCCCATGAAGCCCTTGCTTAACCCCAGCTCCTGAAGTCTTTATCCTCTACCACAATAAAATCAAGGCCATTGTCTCCGCACACATTCATATATTGTTGCCCTTCAGATACCTGTCCCTACAATCTTACTGCAGTATTAAAAGATTGTAAGCTCCTGGGCAATGGTCTGCTTTTTTCTTTTTTATGTTGCAAACGGCAGTGTGATGCTTGCTGCTTTGTAGGAGGTGGTAGCGTGGCTACTCCTGGAAGAAAAACCGCGAGAACCAGATAGTATTTATCAACTACCACCCAGTCACATATTCCCTTTTGGGGCAATGTACTGGACAGTATCATAGTGATATAGTTGCAGGCATTCTTAAGAGGAAACAGATTATCTAGCCTCTTTCTAATCTTGGTTGAGACTTGGGTTCAGGACTGAGTCTGCCACAGTCACCTCGGTGGATGGTCTTTATCAGAAGGGGGCTGCTCCTTCTCAATCTCTCATCAGCTTTTGAGTGCATCAACTATGGTTTCCAAGAGATTGTATCAAAGACACTGTTGTGAATCGTTTCTGGTTTGGGATACTTCCAGATGATAGCACTGGATGAGTGTCTCTAGTCCACCCAGTTTTGGAATGCCACAGGGTAGTATCATATCTCCAATGTTATTTAGGATCTGTATGAAGCTGCTGGGAACAGTAATTAGGAGATCTGGAGTGATGTGCCATCGCTAATCAGGAATGGCCACGCAGGCCCTGGATCAGTGCCTGGTTGGAGTGATGGGCTGGCTGAGGACTAATAAACTGTGTCTGGCACAGATGGCAACTCTGTGGATGAGTGACTTCCAGGTCTGGTTGCTTCTCCTCTATGAAGTTACTCTCTTCCAGAAGGAGCAGGTGCATAGTCTGCAAGTGCTCCTAGATCCAGCTCTAGGAGGTGCTTGCTGTACAAAAGTCCTCAGTAGCTAGGACTGCCTTTTACCAGCTTCAACTGGTATGGCAGCTACAGCCATTTCTGGACGAGTATAGCTTGATCACAGTTGTCTATGCCTAAGTAACCACAAGGTTAGGTTACTGGAATTTGTTCTGTGAGGGGCAACCCTTGAGGTCGGTCCAGAAACTACAGCTAGAGCAGAACACAGCAGCTAGGTTGTTTGTGAGGGCAAACTACTCCCAGCATGTAACATCTTTTTTAATGGAATTTGCACTGGCTGGGAATCTACTATCAGGCCAAGTTTAATTTTTTGGTAACAACATGAAAGACCCTACACAGGACCAGGTTACTTGAGAGACCACTCTATCCGTTGTATACCCAGGTCATAACATTCTGCAGGAGTTTCTCCTTTTAAGTCCTTAAAATATCAGCCCATTCCACAGTAACTTGGGGCAGGGCTTCAGTGTGGCTGCTCTTGTTCTGTAGAACATCCCTGTTAAGATACGACAGATAAGACATGGAACAGCGAATATGTTTTTGTTTCAACATGTTTTTTTCAGATGAAAGGGTCTCGGCCTTATTTTGTATTGTTTTTAAACCCATCTTCAGGGTTTTTTTTGGTACTGTTTTAAAACTAATTTATGTGTTTATTTGATGTGAAATAACTACAACAACAACAACAACTTATTCCTAGATACCAGAAATCCCAAGTGGGAATAGCAGTGTTGCACTCAGATTCTGCTTGCAGACTTCCATTAACAACTGATTGGACACAGTAAGAAGACGATGCTGGCCTGGATGGCCCTTTGGTCTGATCTAGCAGGACTCTTCTTAGGTACTTATCATGTATTTCTTTTGAAGAAAAGCAACTACTGTTTTGCTGTATCATCTCCAGTCTCCTTCACTTCCACACACATTTATTCTCTATCAATTTGCTTCAACTTCTCATCATTGACTTTTTAATATCGTCCCTCCCCTCCCTTGCTTTTCAATTTAAAGCTTCTTTGAGATGCTTTTTTCTCCTTCAGTTAGCAACCAGATTCCTTTATATTAACCCACTGAACATGTGGTTTACAGGTGTGATATGGAGTTATTCTCTTTTAGGTTCACCTAGCTAGCTTCTTTCCAATCTGGCCTCCATCCCCTATATTTCACTGAATTATCTTAAATCAACATTTAAAATAAGGTGAGAATCAGGGCTCCCCTGCTCACTAGAATTGATATATGAAATGCCTATTATCTGAACAGTCAGAAAGAGGTAACAACTTCTGCTGACTTTTCCTTTTGAGCATTTAGTAAACTATAGTAATGCTGGTGACCTACCTGCTATAAATGCTGTTAACAGTATAAATAATATTAATGTTATTTTGTTCAAAATGTCTTAGATATGGCAGCCCCCTTTATGTCACTTTTATTTCTGGCAGTGCAGAGCTAGAAACATATCAAGAGTACAATTCAGTCAACTGAAGTCCCTCCCCCAAGTTTTGTTTATTTCTATGAGAGATATGTATACTCCAATCCTGCGCAGTTATTTGTGCCTAAGACTATTGAAACAATGGTACATAGAATCAGGCAGCCAAGCACATATTTGCAGTTGAAATCATGGTATTAAAAACCATGCTCATAAGGAGGTTTCACGTTCATGGTTTTAATCATATGGCAAGGTCTGGGCCTTGACCAATGAGTTTTAATATGTAAAAGGGCACACAGTCATTACATCTAGATAGATTCTGACTTGACCTTAGGAACCCATCAATCCCTGTTTAATAAGCGGTGAAAATTAGTATCATCGCTTGCTAAAATATGAGGCATTTCACACAAAGCACAGAGAGTACCCCTGAACAAGGAAGTGCAGCCACTAACTGCTCCCTGACTAATGTACCTTTATATGACACATGCATTTGTCATCCTTTAAATTTGTAGGAATACATCTAAAAAGGCAATACGTGAAATGTTCCTGTGAGAGTTGTCTGGTTCTCTTGGTGGTGGGTGGTGAGAGGATAACAACCTGATCTTATGGGAGGAGTGATACCTGTCTCCTTTTATCGACATCTGTCTGACACATCATTGTGTGGGCCCCTGAGTACCACTCGACAGCACTGCACATGCCAATCCTAGTATGTGGTATATAGTGCAGTCCAAGCACGCAGGAAAGGCACTGTGGCACCTTAAAAGACCGGCCGTGGGTTAGCTGGTGTGTACGCCCATAAAATGCACTAAATCTTCAAGGTGGCAACCCTATCCATATTTACGGGGGGGGGGGGGGAGCAAGCCTCAGCGAGCAAAATGGGGGCTTCCTCTCGTGTAAATGCGCGCAGGGTTGTGTCGCAAGGTGCCAGAAGCTTCCTGCCTGTGTCCGGGGTGAACACCTCGTCCGCCTGGCTGTGGCTGCGTGTCCCCCTCGCCAGTGCCAGATTCGAACCCCTCCCCGCGGCGCCGCTTCCTCCTCCCGCCGCCGCCTTTCCGCCGCGAGCCCCCTCCCCTCGCCTCCTCCCCGGCAGCCCCCGCTTCCCTCCCCTCGCAAGCCCCCCTCCCTCCATTTCCGCTTGCGAGGCCCTTCCCGGTCCAATCCTCCGCTTCGCCTTCTTCCCGCCTGCCCTGCCGTGCGCATGCCTGGGTTATGCAACAGGCCCCGGCATCCGAGCGGGTCCCAGCTGCAGGGGCGGCGGCGGCGGCCGCTTGGGTAGCAGGCCGGGTCGAGGGCGGCGGGCGCCAGAAGGCAGAGGGGGGAGGCGGCCCGGCCAGCCCTCCCTTCCCGCTAGGCGGAGTGGAGAGGCCGGGGGGCGGCGCCCTGCCTTGGTCCCGCTTGCCGCCCAGCAAGGCGGGCGGGCGGTGTGCGCGGCTCCGCTTGCCCGGGCCAAGTCCCGCCTGTTCCGCGACGGCGAGTGGGTTGGCTTCCTGCGCCGTGTGCCGCTGCCCCCTTCCTCTCCTTTCCCTTCCCTTCCTCCTCCTCCTCCTCGCCGTCCTCCCTCCCCTCCCGCGCTCTCTCTCTTTTCCCTCCCTTCCTCCCTTCCCCCGGCAGGCAGTAGGAGCCGCAGCGGCAGCAGCCCGGATCCCCTGAGCCATGGCGCTGTGAGAGCAGCACATGGCGGCCGCAGCAGCCATGAGCCCCCCACGAACCCACACAACTCCCCCCTGAAGAGCCGCCGTGCAACTGCAGCAGCAGCAGCCAGCCAGCCAGCCCAAACAGCCTGCCCCGTCTTAGTCGGATCACATTGGCCATCACTTCCCACCCCGCAACTCTTCGCTCCTGCCTCGCCCGGGCCGCTCGCTCTGCACCGCTGCCGCCTCCAGCAAGCCAAGTCCGGTCCCCGCCACCGCTGCTGCTGCCGCCGCCGCCGCCATGGGAGTGCAAGGCTTCCAGGACTACATCGAGAAACACTGCCCCAGCGCCGTGGTGCCGGTGGAGCTGCAGAAGCTGGCCCGGGGCAGCCTGGTGGGTGGCGGCCGCCAGAGGCCCCCGCAGACCCCGCTGCGCCTCCTCATCGACGCCGACAACTGCCTGCACCGGCTCTACGGCGGCTTCTACACGGACTGGGTGAGCGGCGGCCAGTGGAACCACATGCTGGGCTACTTGGCGGCGCTGGCCAAGGCCTGCTTCAACGGCAACATCGAGCTCTTCGTCTTCTTCAACGGCGCCTTGGAAAAGGCCCGGCTCCACGAGTGGGTGAAGCGGCAGGGCAACGAGCGCCAGACCGCCCAGCAGATCGTCAGCCACGTCCAGAACAAGGGCACCCCGCCGCCCAAGGTCTGGTTCCTGCCGCCCGTCTGCATGGCGCACTGCATCCGCCTGGCCCTCATCCGCTTCCACATCAAGGTAAGCAGCAGCAGCAGCAGCAGGCGGCCCAGGGGGCCTGGGCTCGGGCGCTAGGGGCTGCTGTCCACACTGCCCCGCCGGCCCCTGCCTTTCCCCTCCTGGCCAGCCCCACGTTGCGCCAGCGCCCCTTGCATCTTCTCCCCTGCCCCATTGCCCCTTTTCCTCTGCCACCTTGCGGCCCCCTCCTTTTGGTTGGCCATTTCTGCACTCTCTTGCCACCCCCCCCCCACCGTTGGCCCACACTAATAGGGGCCCTTCCCTGGTCCCCCCCCCCCGGGGCTCCTCTGGCACTAGGGCGCCCAAGAAGCGGTGCCCAACTCCGGGGCTGCTTCTCCTTGCCATTGAAGCGCCAGGTTTTCCACTCCTCGGTTCTGCGCAGCTCCAGTGGGGTTTGGGGGGTCTTTTTTCAGTGTTTGGAGGGGGGGAGAGGAGGGGCAGCACTCTTAAGATGGCAGCAGGTTTTGCCCTCTTGGTTGTGGCTTGACGGAGTTCAGAGGGAGGGAATCTGTGTCTCTCCATATCCGCAAAATGTCGTCAAAAGCTGGCGGTGTCGGCGGCTTGGGCGGGGAGAGGAGGTGCGGCGAGTTTCCTGGGAGCAAGCGGGCTCCCCGCTGGCCATTAATAGCCGCCCAAGCGGGGCCAAAAAGTTTCTGCCGCTTCGGCGTTGGCCGGGGGTCTCCCCCTCCCGCCAAGAGGCCTTAAGTCGCCTCCGCGCCTCCTCCTTAGCAGGGTGCCTTGAGCTGGCAAAGGGGAGGACTTCGTAAGCGCCCTGATGTCCTCAATCTCTACGGGGATTTTTCTATTTATACATACCTGTCAAGCTTTGAAAACCAGATGAGGGTGATCTGGAACATCCGAAGGCTCCCATCCACTATCATAGATGTCCTAATGAATAGCAAAGGCTAAATTGGGAGATGCAATCATAATTTCGTTTTTCCAGCGTTCTTGAGGCTGTATTCCCCACTGCTGGTTTTGTGAGCACTTTTGCCTCTATGCATCCCCCTCCGCTTCAGGATCCATTTCTTTCCCCATCCCATAAAACGGGAAGAAGGGGAGGTTGGTGCTCTCACCGTGCCTTGCCTGATGGAGAATTTGAAGACGGGCAGGTAGCAAAATGAATCTGTAACGCTTGTGCTCCAGAGCCACCCTAATTAATGCTTTGAAGTTTGAGCAGTTCTGCTCATCTTCAAAACTCCAGCGAGGTGTGTTCTGACTCCATGTTGTTTGGGAGGCCATTGTTCTGATCACTCGGATTTATAAAATGTCCCTTGCAAGCTAGCAGCCAGTCTTCTGGAAACAGACTCAATTCAAATCCAATCCATTTGTTTTTGAAAAGTACAATCACTTCTGCATCTTGACTCAACTGTAAGAGAAATGTTTGAGGGGCTTTAGACACAAGTTTGCCAAGAAAATGAAAGTAAGCAACAAGTTCTTTAACATATGATTTACATTTAAAGAGAACCTGCAGCTTGAACTAGCTTTAGGTTTAGCTCTTGCAAAATGACTGCTATACACAAGTTAAACATACTCTGGTTTCAAATCGTTTTAGACTTCTCTTACTGTACATGTAAACTGGCAGCTGTTGAAAATGAGTAGTGCCTATAGTTTTAAGCTATACTTAATGTCAAATAATCGATGCCCATTTTATGACAGCACCTCATTAATTTTTTTCTTGTAAAGACAAATATCAAGAGGCAGTAGTATTATTTCATTATGGTTTATTTTATCTTCAGAAGAAATTAAGTAGGTAAAAGTGTATAATCCTCAGGATATTCTTCTGCTTGAATTTTTATGAAAAGGAAAAGTATTGAGCACATAGAAAGTAGTTGTACACTTTTTAAAGTTCCGTTGCATAGCATATCAAATATTTTGTGGCCTTCAGAGACGTGCACAGATCTAGAACCAGAGCTTAACGTTATTGAGCTTTCGTGCTGCCCTTTTGGCAGATTAAACCACATCTGTAATCGGGACAAAGGATATTTCTCAGGATGGGGAGAGTTTCTCTAGAAAGAGAAAAATTACTATTGTTTTAAAAAGTATTTCATAAAAGTTAAGTTTCAGTGAAGTTAACTCAGTGAAACTGGAAAAGTAACACTAGAGGCTTGGATTGGGTGATTTTCTGCTGAAAACTTAGGTTTAAGGCCTAGAAATCATCCTGCATTTTTAGAGAGGCAGTGATACTTCAGACAAAGTTGATAGTGGAAGTCCCACCCCTTGTTTCATTTTTAACTGGTAAGAAATTTTATAAGCCTGCAAGTTGACAGATCTAGTGTAATGATTGGCTTACAGGAATGACAGACATGGAAGTGTAGCACTCCTATGAACAAGTTAGATTGTTCTGTTCATGTACGCTTGTTAAATTCATCTGTATGGAAGCAGAAAGCTGTTAAGTGCAACCGCACTTTCCTCTGTAACTTAATCGGATGTGACATGCATTTCTAATAAAGGACGAAAGGATTGAGTCTAAAAACTTGTTACCACAAGTAGTTTGTGCTGTGTTGTTGTTTTTTACAGGCCTCATAGGATGAGTTGCTTAGATTTGAAAAGATGTTTAATTCCAATGAATGCTGATACTGCCTTTTAAAATGGGTTGGAGGGTAAAGTTCTGGTTTTACTAGTGATATCTCTTCAAGTTCTAAATTTAAGAATAATCTAGGTTGAGAATTTTATTTCTTTTTAGAGACTATTTCATATTGTTGAGCAGGAAGAGATCCTGAGGGTCATCTAGTTCAACTCTTATCAAGGTGCAACAAATCTTTGTGTTTCTTCACATATTGAAATTTCTGTTACCTTGCTTTTTAGCTTGTTTTAAATATGTGGCAGTCCAACTGTTACTGCACATTTTTAATAATACTTTAAACCAGTATGCATTTTTTTCTAATATGAAAAATAAAACCACTTTATTTTTATTCCCTAAGATTCTTGCTCAAAGAAGTGTATAGAAGTACATGTGAAGTGAAAAATATTTTATCTTTAAATATGTTTTTTAGTTTGTATAGTGTATTGTAGCAGTGACTTTTATAGCAAACCATGATTTGATTCTTACTATTTTTTAATTCCTGGTTTTGCATATATAAGGCTTTTACTGAACCTTGAATACATAAATGTTGAAGTTTTGTTCTGTGCTTAGTGATACTATATTGTTGCCCAATATGCCATTTAATATTTGTTTTGTTTTTAATGATTGGTATTTTGAGTAAAGTCTTGAATGTCATTATGGATAAAAGGTGGGCTAGAAACATTTTAATAGATCAATTTATAGAAACTTAGGAATTCTGTCATGCTGACAGTTCATTTAAAAGACAGTTTATATATAATGGTTTCTTGTAGTGCTAAGTCAAATGAAATAGGAATTCATGACACTGATATGTTGAAATCTCAAGTGGGTATTTCTACTAGCAAATTGCATTGTCAGTGGAAAATGTAGACTATCGGGAGCGTGGGAAACAGTATTCAGAGCACATGCTATTCTGTCAATACACAGCACTTTTTAGTTGGGTAGTCAGATCATGAGGGCATAATACAGTACAAGTTAGAATTTAGGGACACTAAGTAAACTGGAACAAATACTAATAAAGAGTAATATAGTTGTCATTTTCATAGTCTAATTCTAGTGTTTACAGTAGGCATTGCAAATACAGACATCTCTTTTTCTTCTTTCTGTTACTTGTTGGCAGACCCATGTACACATAGTCTGGTTTGCCACCAAACTTTTCTTTGCTATTTTGGCATATATTGGCTGCATGTGGAATGTTATAGTCAAGTGTGGATACTGAAGTACAAAATTCATTTTATTTATCTAAACAATCTTCAATTGATTCTAAGCAGTATATAATAAATACCAATTCAGAAAAGGTAAAAATCAGTTAAAACTATAAAATCAGATTTTCATTTAAATTACTGCTGGAATAAAAGTTTTCAGGAAGTGCCAGAAGTTCAACCAGTTGGGAGAGAAGTCCATAAAATTGGGACCACAGTACCAAACACACAACTCCTGATGGATATGAGTCATGCATCTGACCCATGGGGGACCACTAATAGTGACCTTGGTGACTTTGCTGAAATATAAGGGATTGAGGTATATAAGTCTTAAGGTATCCTGGACCCAAATTATTAAAGGCCTTGTAAATTAATGCAAGTCTTGAACCTGACCTAGTAGTGTATGGGCAGCCAGTGCAAACTTTTGATCACCACAGTTATTTACTGGTGATAATCTGTCCTGGTCAACAGCCTAGGCACAGCCTTTTGCGCCAGTTGGAGCCTCTGGACCAGGCCCATGGGTAGCCCCACATAGAGTGCATTGCAGTAATCTAGTCTTGAGGTTACCAAAGCATGAATAATTGTGTTTGTGTCGTAGGCAGGGTCCACAGGTGAGTAAACTGCTTTCCTTTGAGAAAAATGTGTGTTGCATGCAAAAATGATAGGTGCCCATTTGTGCACTTCTGTGTTGTACCTGGATTGCAGAACGTGATTGGTTTCAGAGATATGAAGGGCTGCCTTCATGAACCTGGATGCCTGCTCATTGCAGGCATCATAAGTGGCCTTCTGATTTTCTAAGATGTGGGCCAGGGCTTTTTAAGTTGTGATGCTCAGGCTGTAGAACTCCCAACCCTGGATGGTGTGTCTGGTGTGCTGTTTTTTGGTATTTTGATGTGCTGCCAAAACCATTTTATTTTGCCTCCCTGTTGGTTTTCTTCAGCTTACACACTTCCTTTCACTTTTAAATCTGGCTTCTAGTTTTTATGCTGTATATCTATAGCCTATCCACCATAGGCACTACTCAGGGCAACCTGCAGTAAATTAAATTTGCTAGGTCCTAAAATAAAATTTAAAAAATTAAAAATATAACAGTGGCAGCAATAAGAGGTAAACCATGACCTTTATATAAGGTGTTTGGCAGGTAGAAGTCTGCTAGGTTAAAAAATGTATTCGTCAGCTGGTGATATCCAGCCAGAGAGGTCTTCTTTGGTGATCACTCATAGCTGAGTAAGATTGTCTTCCATCAGTATGGTTTTAACAGTGAGTCTGTAAGTGACTGGAGGCCAGTTCTGGATGCACACGTCCTTCCACAGTGGGGACATAGGTTTCCGGATGGGAGTTTTATCATGGTGAGGGGCTGCCAAATGTGCCTTCCTCTTGGCTTGTTTTGTCCTGAGTTCATCTTCAAAGTTCATGACACCTTTGGTAATGGCTGTTCTCCAATTTGAGTGCTCGCAAGCCAGTGTTTCCCAATTGTCGATGTTTATGCTACATTTTTAAAGATTTGCCTTGAGAGCATCTTTAAACCTCTTTTGTTGACCACCAGATTTACACTTTCCATTTTTAAGTTGGGAATAGAGTAGTTGCCTTGGAAGACGATACCCAGGCATCCAACCAGTCCAACAAAGTTAATGTTGAAGAATCATTGCTTCAACACTGGTGATCTTTGCTTCTTTTGTGCCATCTACTGAGCCTCCATTCTAGTTAGGATGCAGAGAAGGACCCTTCCTGATCTGAGGAAGCTGGATGGTTTGGGAGGAGGTGATCCCACAAGTATTTATTTAAAAATTTATAGGCGGGTGGCGCTGTGGGTTAAACCACAGAGCCTAGGACTTGCTGATCAGAAGGTCGTCGGTTCGAATCCCCATGACGGGGTGAGCTCCCGTTGCTCGGTCCCTGCTCCTGCCAACCTAGCAGTTCGAAAGCATGTCAAAGTACAAGTAGATAAATGGGTACTGCTCCGGCGGGTAGGTAAACGGCGTTTCCGTGCGCTGCTCTGGTTCACCAGAAGCGGCTTAGTCATGCTGGCCACATGACCTGGAAGCTGTATGCTGGCTCCCTTGGCCAATAAAGCGAGATGAGCGCCGCAACCCCAGAGTCGGTCACGACTGGACCTAATGGTCAGGGGTCCCTTTACCTTTTACCTTTTGAGTAAAACTATTCCAGTGATAATAAAATTGAATGCAATATAACATTAAGAAAACCAGCAATAATAATAAGATGAAACATTTTCCATAAGACCATTGGCCAAGGAAACTCAGTGGCAGCATAGAGTGACACTTTTAGATCAGCCCATGAAAATAACTGGATCTTCAAAGCCTTTCTGAAGACCTGAAATGTAGTAGCTTTATAGAGGTAGGTCAATTGGCAGTGTCTTCTAAAGTTGTGGGGCCACCACAGAGAAAGCCCTGTCCCTTGTACCCACCAACTTAGTAGCAGATAAACAACAAGAGCCCTAATTATTGATCTTAAGGTGCAGGCGGGTTGGTATGGGTGCAGGTGGTCCTTTGAATAATTGGCCCAGTTATGCTTAAGGCAAGTGTGGGAAACTTTTGGCTCTCCATAGGTTGCTGAACTACAGCTTCCACCATACCTGGCTATTAGCCATGCTTCTGTGGCTGATGGGAGTTGTAGTTCAGCAACATCTGGAGGGCCAAAGGCTCCCCATCCTGGCTTTAAAGGCTAAAACCAGCACTTTAAATTTGACTGGGAATGGCTGTGGTAGGCAGTGCATTTGCTAAACCTTGATGTAACAAAGGCATGAGTTCCTGTAGCCAGGAATGGACAAGGTTCATGCACGAGTCTAAGCTGACCACTGCTGTCACCTGGTCATCCAGCACTCCCAAACTCAGAACTTGATGTTTTCAAATGCACAACCCTGTCCAAAACAGCTTGAATCCTATTGCATAGTCTGTCTCCTTCCTGATTAGGATCACAAATGCCTTGTCTGGAGTTCACTCAAGTTTTTTGTCCCTTGTCCAACCCATTGCTGCCTCAAGGTTCATAAGCTAGACATCTTATCAAGTCAAGTCCTGTATTTACTACTCTGATTGCTAGCATCATTAATTAATTAATTAATTAATTACATTTATTCCCTCACTTCACCGGAAGATCACAGGACCTTCAGATGTTGTTTGACAGTAAGTTGTACAGGCCCTGACCCATTGGCCATGCTGGCTGGAACTGATGGGAGTTCAAACAGCATAGAGCCATCTCCATTATAAAATGCTAAGTCAGACTGTGGGTTAGCTTGGATGCTTGAGCTCTGGGAGAAGAGATTGCAGATACTTTCTGCTTGTTCTGCTGCGCTGCACTAAGCCATGACATGGCTTAGCATTTTGACTAAACTTGGCCTTGTGTTTTAGCTCTCCATATTAGCTATGAGCTTTAACCAAGTTTTGTCCTGTGGTTTATAGCTCTCAGCTTGCCTTAGAAAGCTAAACCATAGGTTTAGCCATGACTTAGGAGGGAGGAGCCAAATGGTGGCTATTGCCATTTTAGGAGCCAGTGTGTTCCTACTAAACCGTAATTTGGCTTGGTAAGATGTGCAAACCAGACTTATATGACAGCAGGATCATCCACTGAGTTTGTAGTCCTGTTTTATGCTGTCCATGTACCTAAACTCAGCTATGTGTTCAGTTTCAGATTATTTATATTTATGATTCTATTGCATGGTCATTTATACTCCACACTGGGAAGACATTATTTTGTTCAATAACATTGCTTCTGGGAAAATTTGGACACTTGTCAGCGTGATCTTCTATAAATCCCACTTTGTTCACTTAGATTGACTTACTGATGAGTGTGTGCAATTGTAGCATTTGCATGCATGTATGAAATTCAAAATGGGAAATGTGATTTACATTTAAATATCTCTTAATCTCAATCAATCAGTCCTAGTGGTATTGCGGTAGCTATCATAATCATCCCTGAGTCATCAGGGATCCTTGTTGCATTATATAATTAATTATTATTGTATCCTGCTTTATTTAGTCATTTTAGAAGATAATAACAGAACTCAGAATGGCATAAAAATTAAACCTGATTCAATAAAATAATAAAAAACAGACTGACAAAGAAACTCCAACAAAACTTATGATTTCATTCATGGATCTTTGTTACTTGTAATTTACCATGGAAAGATTTGAATCTTGAAAAGCTGGACATAAATAGTTGTATTAAATAAATAAGTCCCCCACTAAAATCCAGCAAAGCTATAAAGCTTGCTGAAATACATGGGCAAATAAAGTTGGAGATTGAAATATATTTTTAAGAAGATTGGCTCCCAAAGCAGCTTACAATTTTATTTTATTTTTGCATCTTGGTGATGGACTTCGATATTTCAGGGATACATGGCTGTGAATATGGCAGTTTGTCCTGGTCCTTGACAGATGATGATCTTAGTCCAAGTTCCAGGCTTTTAACCTCCAGAAGGAAAAATATATACCGTATTTTTCCATGTATAAGACTAGGTTTCCCCCCTAATAAATTATGTCAAAAATTAGGGGGCATCTTATAAATGGATAGTGTCAAGGCCATTTTCTTAAATCTGAGTCCCCCAAAATAGTCTTATACATGGGGGCATCTTATAGACGGAAAAATACGGTATGCCACACCACAGGAGGGATGGACTCTTGCTGATCTGCCAAAAACCAAGGTGAGACCTGATAAGCCTGTAAAAGAGTTGAAAACAGTTCAGATGGGATGTGTGTTGTCTTGTAAATACATTTCTGTCCCAAGGGGACAGGTATGTTTCAGAAAGTTGTTGGCAGGGGAACATGGGTGTCTTTTATGTAGGTCTTTTGGGATGCGGGGAGCAGAATAGGGAGTCTGGCCTGTTCATTAGTTCCCTCAATTGAATACTGTGAAATCAATAGTTGCTTTCAGCTTTCTTCTCCTTCTTGTTAGAAAGTAATGCTTGAACTGGGAAACTGCACACTTGTTTTGAATATGGGATCTTCATTGGCCCTGATTATAGTGTTTAGGAGAAGGAAGGACAGTTGTTCGGAACAGGACTAAAGTTTGACAGAGGATGGTATAGGATACCCTGTTGTTGTCATCAAGTTGGAGCTGCACATTTCCAGTGCGTGAGAACTTGTTTTTAACATGAGCTGCTAATGTACATTTCAGCACATTCATACAGTTTGGTATTAACATTTAATGTATCCTGTTCTTCCTCCCCCTTCCTCTCTCCCTTTTTGCATAGGTTGCACAGAGCATTGAAGACCACCACCAAGAAGTAATTTCATTTTGCCGAGAAAAAGGCTTCCATGGCTTGGTTGCATTTGATTCAGATTACGCATTGTGCAACATCCCTTACTATTTCAGTGCCCATGCCCTAAAACTGAGCCGTAATGGAAAAAGCCTCACGACAAGCCAATACCTGATGCATGAAGTTGCCAAGCAACTGGACCTGAATCCAAATCGGTTTCCTATTTTTGCTGCTCTTTTAGGTAGGTGGAATGACACATGGAAGTCCACATTTATCTGATCTTAAGAATGTGTTATTGGAAGGACTGTTTCTGTGCACACTTGTTTTATCATTTCTTCATCCTCTTGGTTTGTGTGTGTGGTTTTTGTTTTTTGTTTTTTAATTGTATAGCAGTGACTCAGAATCTGGTACCTTTTATCCCAATCACTTTTACATGGAAATGTGGAGGTACCTGAAGTAAGGCTGCAATCCTAAATGTGATTACTTGGAAGTAAGCCCCATTAATATGGGACTTAGTTTTGGATAAACATTGTTTCTGAATTAGACATTATACCAGGAAAAAATGTAGATTAGTTACCTTATAAATACTCATTATCATATTCAGTCTCTCTAATTGCATTATCTGCAAGTGAAATTTGAATTTAGGATTGTTATTTCCCCCCAACTCTGTCAGACTTCACTAATTTCAAGTACTGCCTTGATATTTTAAAAAAGTAAACGAGACACCGTTTATGAAGAACAAGTAACATATAGTATATTTTTTAAAAGCATTGCATATTGTATATTCCAGGTAATCACATTCTACCTGATGAAGATTTGGCTTCATTTCATTGGAGTTTACTTGGTCCAGAACATCCACTAGCCTCTCTTAAGGTACAACTTTAATATAATTTCTGACATTAAAACAAATAACCTAGCATAGGAATAAAACATAATTTGGGCAACTTCTAATATTGTTGGGTATTCTAAAGTAGCACCAAAGACTTAAAAGAGGACTACTCTGAGAACTTGCTTCACTGTAAGTGAGTTCTTTAAGTTTTTCCATTCATATGGGCAATGTACACACCGTGTTTCTTGTTTCAGTTCTCATTTTATCATACTAAACTGCACCTGCATCAGGAACGTGACTGCAGTTCTGAAAATATTTGCTCTTTTCCCCTTTCATTTTTTTCTGATAGCTCTAAGAGAAAAAAATATTTGTATTCAGCTATACTAGATACATTTACAGTGGTACCTTGGTTCTCAAACAGCTTCGTTGTCGAACAAATTGGCTCCTGAACGCCGCAAACCCGGAATTAAGTGTTCCAGTTTGTGAACGTTTTTTGGAAGCTGAATGTTCGATGCGGCTTCCGCTTGAGTGCAGGAAGCTCCTGCACTCAAGTGGAAGCCACACTTTGGTTTTCGAACGGTTTTGGGAGTCGAACGGACTCCTGGAATGGATTAAGTTCGAGAACCAAGGTTTAGTACAAAAGTTGTACCTGTGATGGTATTGCCAGTTGGACAACTTTATGAAAAACCTGAACAGAGGGCTTGGGTGCTGGTGTACGGCTTATGAAAATTCAGTATCTGAAACAGTGGTGATCTTAAGCTTCCAGCTCTCAGAGGTGCTGTTGGTTCCTTAGACTTGATGGGACATGCATACCAGAGTTTAAGAAATGGTAAACACAGTTGATGGTTTAAACGAGATCAAACACCTCCTGGTTTTCTTGAATTCTGTCACTTTCTCGCCTAGATACCTCTGCTGAAGTTATCATCTTTGCAAAAAAAGTGCTGCAGGAATTTATAGATTTAGGGGCATAACTTTAAGTCCATCTAACTATTTGTTGCAGTTGTATAATACTTTTATGTTTGTTGAATAAGCAACAGGGGTGGAGAAGAAGCCATCATACACAATAAGAACCCAGATCCTACTAGGTTGTCTTGAACATAAATTATCTTGGTGACACTGCAACTTGCTTCCAAGTAAGTTTGTTTAGGATTGCAGCCTAAGAGTCAAGGCTGATTCAGCACTGGGAGTTTTGGAAGTTTTTATTTATTTATTTCTCCCCCTTTGCTTTATTTTGAGTAATCATATATATTCAACTTTTCATGCTCATTTAAAAAAGAAAGTCTTGTAAGGAACAAAAGCACCTTGGCCTGCTTCAACCTGCAGTATCATAAGCCATGACATCAAACTCATCACATGTAGATTAGGCTACAAATCTGCATGCTAGTTGCTGGTCTTGCTTTCACTTTGTATTAAATGTGAGTTACTTATTTAAAAAATAAAGCCGTTTAGTCCATGTTTGTGAAGAAAAGGTGAGTAACAATCACAAATGCAAAAGGGTGATTCAGCACAAATGCTAATTGTAAGTGCCTCGCTATAATCTGTGCCTCACAGATTATGCTTGTGGTGGGGCAAATTTTTCTGAAGTAGCTGTCCTGTTACATATTTTAATGGCCAAATAGCTGTGTCCCAGTGTCCACCAGCCTCTTGCATTTACTCCTCTTTCTGCCTGGACACGAGGGGGAAACAATCCAGATGTTTCAGAGCGGTGAGGTAAGCTACTTGGAGCAAAGATGGGCAAAAAGAAGTCCAAACCTCAGTAGCAAACCTGATGAAGGGAAGCTTGTTTCTGACCATTAGTATGGTGATAATTTGCAGGCTGAACTAGATGTAATAGAGGCAGCTCTGTATGTTGTTTGTGCGTCTGTCCTATTCACTACACACACACACACACACACACACACACACACACAGACACACACAGAGCGCCAGGGTGGTGGGAAGTTCTTTTGCAACAAAAGGGGTGTACATGCATCAGGGGAGCTGGATTTCCCCTCACATTGCCTTCCTGTGCTTGCCTCACTGCAGGGACCCAGCTTTCCCCAGTAAAAAACATGCTCCCCAGGCCATATCTACTTCATCCCTTAGGCAGCTTTTCATATCACAATTTTACATATTGGGACCTGTGTTCACGGATGTGATGCCTCTCATAGTGCTCCCCAACCAACCTGTGCAGATTTTCAGGAAGCTGCAAGGTGAAGGAGGGATCAGCAAAACATCTCTTTCCTCTCCTCTTCCAACAGAAGTGAAACTTGGCCAATTACAAGTTTAGTTTGAACCCATAATGTAAGCTCCTAAAATAGCATTGTTGAATTATTTATACCACACAAGGTACCGTGGCATACCATGTTTTCCAGATGCCCAATAATAGGAAGAATAATATAAATAAATATTTTCAATATTTGGGGTACCAACCACCTCAGGCTTATACAAGCACATTCTCATTCACCCTCCACCTGTGCCCCATTGTTTCACAAATGAGGCACCTGATTAAAACTAATCACACATGGATTTCACTGTTCTTTTAAAGTTCTTTGTTATTATTTTAGAAAGACAGGCAGAATTTTATAAACGTGGTAGCTGGGTAGCCTTGACTTGATTTCTAATATAAATTTATTAATGGGTAGTTTTACAACCATTGATTTGTATCTGCAGTAGTACTATTTAACCTGTGTAGTTATTTCTAGAAATATCTTCTGTTGGTTTGACATTAAGGCTTATGTGCTCATTTGCTCTCTTCCTCCTTTTGAACAGGCTAAACAGGCATAACTACTTCAGCTTCTTGTAATCAAGTGTTCATTACCATCACTGGAGCTTTTTGCCATATGTAGTGGTTTGAATTAAGTCTTCTTGAATAGATAGACCAAAATCAGAGACACTATTCAAAACAGGGTTCTACTGTTACCTTTCAGAATGCTATTGGACTGTCCCATTCATTCTGGTAGAGTTACATCAATCACAGTTCATCAAAGATTTTTTTTTTTTAATCTTTATCACACCAATACACTTGTGGTCTTCTTGGGATAAAAAAAGATTCTCAATTTGCCTTAGTTTCAAACAGTTGCAAATAACAGTAAACTATAGCTGGTGGATTACTGTTAATGTGAAGATTGTGCCTACGGTGCTCCTTTCCAATCAGAAGATCCCTGGCTAAGAGTTATATCTGAACTGAGGAGCAATGGGAAGCCAAGAGCAAACTTTAGCTTCTCAGCAGTGTTAGCTTAGAGTGAAACAAACCACAGTCATGATTTAGATGGAACACCAAGCCAGGAATTGTGATTTGTGGTTCCTGCTAGGGGAGAAGCAAAATGGGGGCCATCTGTGTGTTCTTGATAAACTAATCATTATAGTTTATGTGAATGCAGTCATGAAGTCTCAGAATGCATGAGTTCCTACTCTCCAGCTCCATTCCAGTTTCTCCTGTTCTAGCGCTCATTGTTTCCCTTGCATTGTTTCCCTCTTTATCTTTATATGAACAAAAACAAATAATGGCTGTCTGTTCTGTGCTGTTAGCAAATTTTATCCCCATCCATCTGCTTTTTTAAAAAGTCATTAAAAACCATTAGCTTTATTGTCATAGATGACACTTTTAAAACTTTAAAAATATTGTCTTGTTTTGTAGCGTTGTTATTGGGTATTGGTACCCATGTAACATGTATACTCAACTGTCACATTAGGAAGTTATACAAAGCAAATTTTATTATATTAACATAGATCCTCTAAAAGCAATTTAAAACACCCAAAACATACAGCTCTAAACATACACAATGTTAAAATATGTGGTACTTACATTAATGTAAGAATATGAACAAACCAATAAGATTAAGAACATTTCTTTACATGTCTTTGCAGGAGAAAAGAGAAAACTAATAATAGTTTCTGTTATTATTTTGTTCATGTTAGCCAGTAAGTAGGACAGAGGAAATGAGATTCACTCATGACCTCTCTGGTTAGTTGTTGAGTCATTTTTAAGACCTTAGATATTTTTTAAAAAAATCCATAAATAAGGCCTCAGCTTATAAGATAACCTAATTTTTATTCATTGTCAGTTTTCTGAGGCAAGAATGGGCTGAATTCTTAGCTTTCTGCCTCCTGGGAATCCCTGTGGTCCACTAGGCTCTTAAATTTACAAAGCAATAGTGGATTTCTTAATAGTTTAGGCATAGCTAATCAATGTTAAATGTTCCCAAGTAAACACAGTTTCTTAAAAACAAAAGAAGTGCTTTTTTGAATTAAGCACTGGCTACCTAGTTTGGCCTGCTTCACAACAATCTTGGCACTTGGTCCGCTGTCTATTTGTCGACCTCTTTTCCATACTCCTGCTCTAAAATCTAGATGTATTTTAAAATCAAAATCACTTGTGGGTGGATGGAACTAGTGCAACATTTTCCCTCATTATGAACACAAGGAGGTTGGACACCTTTTTCTACTCTCATCTCCACACATTGAGAGAGGCTACTGTTGCATCTGATTCACAGAAGACAAGGTGTTTCCTATTGGACAGATTCCAGCATCTCCTACAGTTGCTTGATGGTAACTTAGTTTTTGTCCAGTAGGTTTTCATGTGAAGGTTGCTCAATTATGTATTCTCTTTCTTCAGCTCAACTAATCTATCCTCATCATGATGATTTTACTTCCTGTCTTCTGTTACATACATTGGCTGTCTCTCATCTTGCATTCAATTTAACTTTCAAATGTATGCATTCTCCCACTTGTTTGTTGTGCATGTTCCTCTCTTGCTGTCTTGACTCCCCTGATAACACTGTCCCCTGTAAATTCAGTGCTACAGTATTGATTTCCCCACTGTGCTCTGTTTTTTATCTTTCTTGTTGCTCCATTGGAACTCTGCCATTCTTCCATTTTTAGTATTTAAATGCAGTTAAAGAAAGAAGGGATGAAGAGGTATTGTTCATCCTATCATTCTTTAACTGAACTCTCACTTTCTACAATTCCCATACATTGCCCTTCCATTATGTCTTCCTGCAGTGGGTGCCCCTGGGTGCAAGTGTGCCTACCAGTACACCCTGTGGTGCCTATGAAACGTAAATATTGCCTCAAAAAACTACAGTGTGTAAGTTTGCTATTCTTGTTCAGTTCTTGTTTGTACTGAATCAGCCTCCCCCATAGTGAACATGTTCATACCCACATTTCATTGGATGCCAGGATTGGACACCCACTCCCCCTGTACTGAACAGAGGAGAGGTGCAAAAACTGAGCAAGTGCGGCGGCTCATGTAGGTGCTTTTTTATGGGGTGGGAGCAGGCCCACAGCATTTTGTGGTCCTGACTCTCCTTTTTTAGACGTAGCAGCCATTTTGTGTTGAACCACACCCTCAAAGCAGCCATTTTGTGTTAGGTTATACACCCAATCTTTTCGCTGGCAACCTGTGGCACTTTCTTAAAATTCCAGATGTGCTCACTGGTCCCAAAAGATTGGTGACCCTGTCTTACTTTAGGTGTAAGCTTGAGAGTAGGGTATGTAGCTTTGTTTATAAAGGTTTATATATGGTTGCTGTATGTGCAGCATGCACATTATCCCAGCATTGTTTTATCTTGTCATAGCTGGAAATGGCTCTAAGAGACGTTGTGTATAACACTCACTTGACAATTTCTGTCCTGTGGATTTGTAATCCAGGAGCAAACGTAAATTATCAAGAGCACTGACACAAAGTACCTGTTTCTGGACTGTATAATTTCATACTGCAGGTGGAGGGTTGCATGTTTTCTATGTCCTGTCCCCTGATCACACATTGAGAAATCTCAGTGTGCATAACAAGCTAGTATGACAAGAGAGAACGCTTGCCTAGAGCCCTCCTTGACATAGTTCTGTATGTACAGGGAGTACTTTATATGAAGCAACATACAAAACGTGTAGCCTGTTTCCTGAAGCCTGAAATAGAACCAAGTAAAGGGGTCAGCCTAGATGAGTGCTCTAATAGTCTGATTCTGCTGTAATTGATGCAGGAAAAATGTCAGATAAGGAAAATGCAAAGTGATAGGGAAGAGTTAATGTAGAATAGATGAGCCTGGAGTGAGCAAGAAAGACTCTGTTCTCCCCACCCCCCAAAAAAATTCTTTGTAGGGAATTGTATAGTGAATGTGACCATCTCTTCCTGCTCTTAGTTAAATAACATTTGCTCACTCATCAGTGTAGAAGTGGAGATTCTGAAGACAATAGCATCTTTGAGGCCTTTTTGCTCATGAGTATTTTTAGTCTCAGGGCCTTTTTAGTTGTAACTATGAGGAGATAATGTCTAATTTTTAAGAACAGGGTTGTGTTGCTCATTCAGCTCTCACTTTTTTTAAACAAAACAGCGTTTCGGTTTTACTAACCTATGTGAAGAATTTATCTAGGTTTCTTTTTAAAACTCATTTCTAGTGGAAATGATAAAAAAAAGGCTTTTGAAGTATAGAGTGCAGATTTTTGGCATGGAAAATGGGATTAAATATCCTTAGGCTTTATGAAAAGTGCAGTCATTCCTTGAGAAATTGCTCCAAGCTGTCAGGCTCTGGGCTTTTGGGGTTCACAATGAACTTTGCTTGTCATGATCTCATAACGTGCAATTTACATTTTCTCCCCCTCCATTGCCGTCTGATTATTAATTTTGGTTATGCACTCTTATTGAAACTTAACAGTCTGCTGCAAACATCTGTCTACTTGATCTTATACATTAGTGCAAATTCATTTTTCTCCTTTGAAGAAAATCTGTAGCCGTTTCCATTTCTAAACACACTCCATTAACTTTTTAGATGCTTCAGCTTAACATGATATCTTGACTGTTTTGTCTTTTTATGTACTTCATGGTATCCTCATTGTGCTAGCAGAAGTGTTTGAGGTTTTTCTTCTAGTAGTTATAGAATAAAACTCTATTCACTGCCTGTCTTTTTCAGCCACTTAATCTGCTGCTGCTGCTACTTTCTTTTGTGGACTTCTCGGTTCCAGTTACTGGGTTATAAAAAAAATCTTCTCCAGGATTGCAGAATTCTCCTTTCAAACTTCCGTTTTCCAGGTGTGATGTCACTTCCTCCTCCATAATTATAGTGCTACCCAGTTAGATTTTAAAAGAAAAAAGAAAAGCACAATGCTTCCGTACCCATTTAAGTGTCTCTTGTGCCTGGCTGCCATGCTGTTAACTGCTCATGTTAAAGCATCTGTAATTTTTGGTTATAGGAGCTATAGTAATGAATTCTGATTTCCATTTCCATTAGAAATGTTTTCAGAATTGATTATGCATCCTTTAATATTTGATATTCAGTAAATCCAGAATTTCAACATATAATTCATTCAGTGTTACTTATGACAATTCAGTCTTGTATTAGCTACTCACCTGGTCACTGTTGGCAGCTAGGAATTCCCTCCAGGTGTGTGAGTGGGCTTCCTAAGGAGAACTGGTGTGCTTTGTTTCTCCTTCACCAGCCCTTGTAGCTTGCAATTTTCCTTTAAAAAACCCCCACACAAAACAGTCTGCTTTTTGCTAATAAGAGGAACTCCTTTGTATAAGTAAAAAGCAGGCTAGTTGCTTTGGGTGGGGAGCTAAAAACTAAGTGATAACATTGTACATCAGAAAAATGCAGCTATGAGGAAAAGTAGAACCATCTTTTGAAAATTAAAATATGAAGGGGCCTCTAAAGCAGTGAGCATTTTTAAGTGGCATTTTATTAAATTTAGTTTATTTTCTCGTAGCAAAGCTCAGGGTATTCCATTCCTTCTAATCTGAGAAGAAGGTTTAACAATTCTCTTGATTTCCTTCATTAGCTGTTGCTCTGAGGGTAAAGCGTAGAAGACAAAATGACCTGCTAGTTAATAAAAACTTGATGTCAAAGCATAGTCGCTATATTTTTTAAAGTTTCATAAAAAAAATTTCACGTTTTAGTTTCCTCATCCCACTTTGTCAATATTTTTACACTAATCCTGTTTAAAATTACGACTACCTGCGGATTTTAAAAATACTTAAATCTGTTATTAAACTTTGAAAAATGCCCTTGCGCCAGTAATTCTTTAATAGACAAAGAATAACCTCTATTTCTGAAGGCAAAAATCATACAAGTTTCAGTCAGGTGAATCCTTTCCAAATGAGGTAAAATGGTTCTGTGGATGGGGCTCCAGGTGGTGGGATTCGGAAGTACACAGATAGTAGCTGGGCTTTGTAGCCATTTTGTATTTTTAGTAGCCAGCAAGAATATTTAAATATGCCTCTCTGCATATGCAGAGCATCTTTCTCCTACAGAACAACTGGCCTATCACAGAATTAAGAAACAGGATTTAAAGGGCAGGTGGCATTGCCATAGCTGTCAAGTGTTCCCTTTTTTAAAGGGAAATTCCCTTATTCCGAATAGGATTCCTCGCAAGAAAAGGGAAAAGTTGACAGCTATGCTCCTCACACACAGGCCCTACCACTCCCAGGAATCCAACACTCTTGAATATACTTGCCAGCATAGTATATTCAGAAAGCACAGTTCCTCTTTTAAATTAAAATAAATATCTACTACAGTGTTGTGCCCCTACTTCTATTCACCCACACCTGTCTGCTTAAGATTCTTGCTGGTTGGAGGCCATTTTCAATACTGAGGTGAGGTCCAGTGAGTGGAATCTTTCCCACGACAAAAGGAAGTTGACTCCAGGGTTTTCCTCGTTCCGTCCAGCAGTTTTGTTCACAAGCTCAATACGAGCCCTTTCCAATTTCTAAATTTAGTTTCTCAGTGGATTCACATCCGTGGTTCTGGACCGAATGCGGATTGTCTCTTGCTTTAGGCACACTGCCATTTTGTTTTTTCAATTGGCTACATGTTCAAATACTTGGGGCTTTAGTTTACATTTTCTGGATGCTAGTTTTTACTCTTAAACATTTGCTCTGGGAGGGAGACGGGGAGCTGGCTTCAAGGTTTACACAAGGGCAGCCCAGTCGCTACTGTGCCGATCTGGCTTTTGCTCAATGGGTATTACAGCCTGTGAGGTGAGCAAGGATGGGAAGAGATAAGGATTCTGCTGAGATGGCGAGACCAGGCCTAATGAGGGAGAATGAAGCAAGACAAAGGCAGGGAACCCTTTGGCAGATTTTATTTATTTTAAAGTAATATTTGTATATTCCTTTTCAACAATAGTGGTTCTCACTGTTTGTATAATAAAAGCATGTTTATAATCTTGTGCACAGTAGGAGATCTTACATACCAGATGCCGCCAATGATTTGGTGTTGTTTTTTTTTAAAAAAGTATTCATGCTTCCAGCATGGTGGCATCAATGAGAATGGGGTGTGGAGAACTACTGTTCTCAGTTTGGGTTTCCTTAGTCCACCAGGAGTTTCTAGAAACCGGTGGCATCAATGGCTCTCACCCATAGAACTGAGGGAAAAGGTGCTCTAACAACAACTTGAGCACCACAGGTTGCTCACTCTTGAGCTAAACTGAAGATAGTTGAGGAAATAGTTACTTGCCTGAGGACTCCCACTGATTTCTTGGCTTCTCAGCTCAATCTGTTTGAACACAAAGCTACATCTCTTCTAATACATATAACTAGCTTTGAAGTGGGTTGGTTTTTTTTTTTTTTTACATTCAAGCAGTATATACATTTTATTAAATAAATCAATACTGAAGGAGAAAGTTGCCAAATTTTTAAAATGTGTCAGTCCTTATCCTGTTTTATAGCAACCTTTCAGCATGGGAAAGGCCAGTAACTGCTTAAGTTTGGATATAATGTACTGTAGCCTTTTCGTAAATTGCAGGCTTTGCCCAGTTCTGCATAGAAAGAACTCTATGTGAGTGGTTTTGAAGCTCTGTCTTCTGTATGAGGCAATTTTCAGATAACCATCAAAGATGAAAATGTTGGGAACTGTAATTATTAATGGCAAATAGCATTTTCCTTAGGGTATTGGCCTCATGTTGTAGCAGTTGAACAGTTTTTATAGCTGCGCTATGCTGTTTAAAATGCAATCTTACAGTAGGCCATTTTCCACAGAGAATTCCTTTCTTGAGAGTGAATAGCGGTTGCCTTGCCACCCAGCTTTCTGAATGGGGTCTACTGTTGCCCTTGCTTTTCAGGTAATATTTTGTTCTCAAATTTCACATGTCTTCCCTACCCCCACCAAATTTCATGCTGGAGAGACTGGAATTATAGATGCTTTAAAACCAGTTTTTGTTTAGCTAATCTTACTTATTGATTTCCTACACCTAAGTGCTGTCAAGTTCAGCGTTCCCAAACTGTTTAGGTTTGTCAACCTTTTTGCAAACAAAATTTATGCTGCTGTTTGTGTGAGGCTTCAAGTTAAACTTCTGAAATAAGCACTATTCAGACGTACTGATTTGCTGCTCCCCCGTCCACCAAATCATTTATCATGAGGTGATATAAAAAGTATGACTTTTTGCTCTGTAAAAACTGCAAGGCTCACTTTGTATTTTGGCAAGAAAGAATGTGCAACCTGTGCAGCGTTGACCATTGGTTCATCTTGGCCAATATAGTCTAACCTAAGAGGTGGCTAACCTATGGCCCTTTAGGGCCTTCCATGGTTTGGCTGAAGAAGCAGTTGCTCATATGTAGGCTCCAAAGAGGTCAGGGCTCCAGCGTTATCAGAAGTGCAGGTCATGTGGAAGACTACACACAGTAGCTGCTCATGCATAGGTCTCCTCAATGCAGACATTCAGATCTATGTGTTGGTGCACTCCCACTTCCTGGTCACCATGTGATGTCTCCGTCGCACAATTCAAATGTGAAGAGGGTACTGTCTGCTTTAATGCATGGAGTCATGTACTACAAGGACTTCAGAAACTGAAAAGTGGTGGTGGTAAAGCCAGAGCCCTATCTACAGCTCAAAAGTGAAGCCCTTATAGAAGAGGCAGACTATCCAGACATTTCTGTTCCTTAACCCTGTTTGAACCCAACGTTTTTCTGAAGCGGTGTATTGGTATGCAAGGAGGGGGAGGTTGTTGGTAGTGAGAGGGCATAAATTATAGGCTAGTTAGTAACTTGGATTTGTGTGACAACCTTCCTAATCTACAAATGAGACTTTTATATCACTTCCTCTTCTGTTCTGACTCTCCCAGTCTCTTGTATGTGTTTTCTTTCCAATAATCTTGCTGGTTACGTATATATAGTACCTTAGAATTACATGTTTGTCTGTAGTGTATTTTAACTGAAATTTAACTGAAATCGGAGCAGGGGCTGATTATGGTTAATATGTTTTTCTTTGGCTTCAGGAGTGCCCTCTGGTGGTTTTAAAAGACTATGATAGCTTTTAATTTGAGGCAGTTTCCAAGAACACAACCCTGCTATGAAAAATAGCCACTTATACGTCATCTGGAAGACAAGATGTTTGAGATTCAAATGAATACTATGGCAGCTAGAGCAGGGTTGGGGTGGAGCAGCCATTTGGATATATTTGCATAAATTAAGGTCCTAATAAAAAAATTAGAAGGTTGTAAAACTTAATGGAACGATTAGAAGGTTATAAAAGTTAACCACCTAACACAGGAGTGTGGGACCTTTTTGGCCCAGCAGGAGAGATCCTTATTCTTTCCCACCCCTGTGAATCAACACACTTGTAAATCTCTGTTATCGTTATGTCACATGATTGACAGGTGAGTTACCCCACCTATCTGTCCAAGTCCGTAGTGCACTGCTTTTGAAGTGCCTTACAGCCAGCTAGTTGTTGGGCACGTTGGAACCACAGCTCAAGGGACTAGGGTAGTCTGAACATAAGGCTGGCACCCCCGTTTTCTGTAGAGATTGGCTGAGTGATCAAGTTTCCTATGGGGATCTCAGTCGAACAGCTGATCCAGCAGCATCGTCCCTGCTCCACACCTGATGTACACATAGCGTTGGATGTGGAGCAGGTGGGTGTGGTTTGGGGGAAATGATACTGTGGTGTGAATTTGGCTCACAGATCGAAGGCTCCCTACCTTTGATCTTACATGTGATATGGTAGAATGGTTGCCAGTGAGGCTACAAAGTGCATGGACATCACTGTTGTAAGTGATTTTGTGTGAAGCAAATACTACATAATTTGGGCTTTTAAAAAACCAAACTTCTTTTGTGAAAGTTCTTGAAAATGAAGAGCTTCCTGGGATACAGCTTCACACTAATAACTTGCCACTTGGACTAGAGCCCATGTGGTTTGGGTCTTCTGTGGCAAACATTGCTAATCAGCCCCATTTACTGCCCCAGCTCTCTTGCCTGTGGTTTTTAATAACCCAAATAACATTTCTTGTAGTTCTGTTTGCCTCTGAAATTACCAGTGCATCTTGGTGCCATTTGTGATCTTTCGCTGCAATGAAATACTATTCTAGTGTTAGGGCACAGATAACGGTACTGAGGTGTGATTGCCAACTTCCAGGTAGATCAGCCATGAAACCAGGTTTTGATGGTTTGCATGTAATTCTGGCACCAAAGTAAATCTGCCACGTGAAGCTTCTGCTGCAGGCTTTCTTACATGATACAGGCCATGTTGGTGTTGAGCCTGGATAATTCCATTACAGGCATCTAAATAGTGAAGAAGATACTGGAAAAAGCTGGATTTAATCAGGATTCTGAACTGGTTTAGAAGTTTCCCGGCTTAATTTCAGCCAGGGTTAACTATTTTACACATAATGGCAGGCCCTATGGGAACAGGGGGAATTTATTTCTGAGGAACAGTGTAATAGGCCCAGGAGTTTCAGTCAAGAATATTTTTGCAAGTTCTGACATTCCTTGATAGATCACATTCAGAGGTTTAATAACCAAAGATGTAAATGAGGCTTTTGCCTGCTTGAGTCCACAGATCCATTGGGGAAGGGCTGTAGCTCAGTGGTAGAACATCTGCTTTGTGTTCAAAAAGTCCCAGGTTCAATTCCTGGCATCTCCAGGTAGGGCTGGGAGAGACTTCCTCTCTGAAATTTTGCCTGGCACTGCCTGGCAGTAGAAAAAATACTAAGCTAGGTGGACTATTGACCCGACTCAGTATATGTCGGCTTCCTGTGTTCCTTTGCATAAGTTTCCTGTTGAACCTGAACTGGGAAACTATAGTTATCAATTTCAGAGCAGGCTGGGATATTCAAGCACTGTTTTGAAGTTGGTTTAATATCCTGCCTTATTCCAAAGCTGTTGATCCAGATGGGGAAAACTGTGATTAAATGGAAAACTCTAGTCAATACTGTAGTTAAAACTTCCTGTTTCGTTTGCTGCTTGCATGCATGAGCAAGAGGCATATTCCTATCTTGGCTTATTAAGCAGAGATACAATCACCCAAACCCTCCCTTTGTACCAAATTGCAGAAAGGCAGTTGGAGCAGCATATCTTAAACCTTTTTTTTCTTTTTTCTTTTGCTAAGCAGCCCTACTAAAGATGTTTTTGTCTGGTTCCAGGCTTCTGTTAGCTTGACTGAAAGTGAGACGTTGCCTTTTATGCTGCTTCATTTCAAAAACACTTGCTAGGCTGCTATTTGAGCATCGCTGTTAAAGATTCCTAATAAAATCACTCTTGAGTGGCTGCTGCCTTGTGGGTGTATCTGTAACAATCTGTCCAAGACTGAATGCCAGAAATGAAGCTGCAGTATACCCGGTCAGAATGGTGATCCATCTGGCCCCAGAGTGCTTGCACTGGCAACTGTTTTCCAAGGTCTTGGGTATGGTCCTGCTTCCTAAGCTTCCTAGCTGGAGCTGTTGGACATTAAACCTGGGCCTTTGACATGAAAAACATGTCCTCTGCCACTCAACTATGGTCCCTCCCCTTGGCCATATAGGGCTTCTCTTGAAATTGCTTCCATTCACATAGAGGTGCAGCCGCCTGCATTCTAATTGGCACACATCACTTGACTCTAATTCTCTCTCCTGTACTAGCTCTTTGTTTCCTGCGCCAATTCATATGCGCAAGCCCAGATGTGCAAAGCTTTTGAAATGTATTGGATTCATAATGAAGAGTATGAGTCATTTCTTACGTCGTGTAACAATCTCTCTATGATTAACTCGGAACTCTTACCTCACTCTATACCATACATGTGCAGAATCCATGTGGCAGTGATGCAGAGAAAGGTATTCCTGGTGACTGCTCAACCAGATACGGAGTTTTCTTCTGCTGGAGATTTGCTAAAGCTTTCAGAAGCATTGAAATATGTTTTCAATTGGTCTAGTTTATAGTGATCAGAACTAAGCAGTTGCTGGAGTTTTAAAAGTGTACTGTATGATAAGTTAACAATTATTGTGTTATTGCTTGTTTCTCTGTCCTTGCGATAAATGAATTAAACCAAACTTCTTTTGGCAGTCATGCTGGCTAAAACTGACTTTTCCAGACTCCTCTATGTCTTAGGATATTGGATGGAATCCAGCACCGTGCTGCGGTGAATGTCCCATCAGCACAGGCATTGCAGCTTCTCAGATGGAACAGTTTCCCCTCTCCTCCCCTGTGTGCTGTTCTAGGCATTCTCCAGACCAACCCAAGCCAATTTCAGGGGGGAAGAGAGGGGGGAAAACCCCATTGTGCAAGCAGAAGTCCAAGTGCAGGGCTTGCACTGATGGAGCTCGTTAGGGGATTAGTGCCCATTACTTTTAGGACACTCTTTAAGCAACTAAGACCTCCACTGTTGCCATGATGGAAATGTAATGTAAACCTAACATTTTAGCTTTATCGAGGACTAAAAGACTTAAATTGCCACCACAAGATTAGCATATTTGTTTAGAATAAGTTCTCTGCAATCAGTAGATTTCCAGGAAAAAGCATTGATGATATTAGACCATGGAAACTCACCTGGAACTATTTGTACGTTTGTTTTAGTAATAAGCGTACATCCCACCCTTTTTTTAAAACAACACCCAAAATATTTAAATAAAACACTGTAGTGAAGCACTGTAATAAAGTACAAATGCTGATAATGAATGAATTGAATACTTTTAATTAAACAAATTTGTTGCATAGTTCAAAGAAATTTGTTTTATGGCATGTAGAGCATGATAAATTCTTTAAAACCTTCCTTGTAATAAAAGTGTTGTTGTGTTGGGAATAACATGAATATGGCAAGTTATTTTTTAGGCTGCAATCCTATGCATATGTACTCAGGAGTAAGCTCAACTGATTAAAGTGAAGCTCGCTTATATTATTATTATTATTATTATTATTATTATTATTATTACTATTATTACTTTCATTATTTATTCGATTTTTATACCACCTTCCATCAAAATATCTCCGGGCTGTTCACATAGGATGCCTGTATGGAAGTGAAGGAAGCTTTTTAAATGAATGTTGAAATCAATCTTTTAAAGTATATTTTTGTGGAAGTTGTGCAAATAAAAGCCAGAGACTTTACCAACTTTGAACTAATGTATATGTTGTAGTAAGCATAAGAAGTTCAGTGAATGCCGATGTTTATTGGTAATCCTTAAAGTCTTTTGAGGTCCGTAGGAAATAGTAAACGCACTTCTCCACTGTCTCGCCGAGACAGATGCATGCCAACAATCAAAGAATCTTAAGGCAAACTGAGTGCTTTTTTCTGACAGTGACCAAATTTCATCCTCCTTTCTCTCCCATTACTGGCAAATATTTGAACAATTTCCCACAAAACTTACTCTGGACATTATCAATGAATTATTGAAACAAGAATGTCTTTGGTCAAAGACACTTGGTTGGCTTTAAAATATTTCCACTAATGTCAGAATTGTCTGAAATATTCTACTGGCTCCCTAAAATGTTAAGAACTCCTAGTAAATGTCAGAGGTTCATAGTTTGACATTTACCTTAATACACACTTGTCCAAGGGTGCATTGATTTAAATCGGATTTCTTGTTGTGAAATTAATATATTTCCTGGGCAAGCATGCATGCTATCTGATTGCTACAATAATTAATGTGTTCGTTTGCAATTCAGTATAATCCAAAATCTTTTACCATGTAGTCTGCATCAATTGCAGAATTGGAACTGCTTTGAGAAAAGCAGCTTAGCCCTCTTTGTATGTGCTCAAGGAAGCAAAGGAAGAACACTTGTCTGCAGCTGAAATTGTATGCACAGTTATTTGTAATAAAGTTTCTTTGAACAACAATACTTCCTAGTAAATAGGCGTAGGACTGAGTTGTAAGTGTCTGGAACTTTCCAGAAGCAAGGCTGGTCGGTAGTACACAAAAAAACCCATGTTTCCATGAGATCATGGAAACCATTCTGTTGGTTACAGTGCCATAATTTGAAAAGTAATACATTGCAAAGTTCATGTAGCAAAACATTTGCACAAGGTCACCCATGTGGGCTGTTGGAATGCTGGGTAAAATGTGGACTAGCATCTCCTAGCTTCCAGCACCTATGATGGCCTGCTAAACTCTTGTTAGGCCATAAGAACAAATAATAATTAAATAGTTCATTGTGCCATTTTCTCAACTTCAGAAGTTAGACATTTGTCCCTGTAATTTTTGCTTTATTAGAAAAATAGCCTATTTAAGATGTATTTGCTATCAGGCCACAATTCATTTTAAAGAGACAAGTAGATTTTAACATGCTTTGTATTTAGATTTCATTTTAAACCAGGTTATTTTAGGAAAGACACCACATAATTAGAATTGTAAAATCAGTTTAAAATCGTTTACCTTTATCCACTTTGCAAACTCCTCCCAAATTACTCTTCCCATGTTTCCATTTAATTATACATTTCTTCTTCCTACTTGTTGCCATTAGCTTGAAAACCTGGCTTCCACTTGATTATGCTCACACATCCCTTATGGAAATGCTTCAGTGGCTGCCACTTAATTACTAAAGAAATTGCTGCATATTTAGATGTAGGCATCTCATTTGCTGAACAGACATGTAATAACAATTCATATTTAGAGTATTTTTTTGAGATCCTTCTTTCTATTAAAAGTCTCCTCAGAAATTGGTCACTATCTGAGATATACAAGCTTTTAAATTCTGTTTGTGTTGGTAGAATTACTCGTTAACATATTTTACAGTGGAATTTTAGTTGGTCTGCTTACTAGCTACAAAACTGAGCTATGTTAGGGAGCTGCTGTGGCATTTTAACATGTGTTTGTGTTTCTAGGTACGAGCACACCAGTTAGTTTTACCACCCTGTGATGTAGTGATCAAAGCTGTAGCTGACTATGTCCGCAATATTCAGGACACTTCTGATTTGGATGCCATAGCTAAAGATGTCTTTCAACATTCACAGGTAAGGAAGGAACAAAGATCATAGGTGTAGACTCATTTTAAAGTACAATTGTACAAATAGTCAACTTCTACTGTGTGTGTACTCATGTGCACATGCCTTCCTATCACTATTCTCTCTTATCATTGTCATGTCCAAGGATGTGTAACTTGGGTTTGCTTTTTTGGGTTCTGTAAATTTCCATAATACCGGGTACAGCTTTATGGCAATGTTAACACCAAAGACTTTTAGTAACACAAGCGTGGCTACTAACATTTCAGTTTTGGTTGTGGTTGCATTATAGGCCTGACCCTAAGAGTGTTGTTGTGACCATGCTAGCTGAATAGTACTAATCATCGGGGTGGTTAAGAGGGATGGAGGGGGAAAAACAACAGATAGGAATCTCACTAGACTCCCTGTACTGCTTATCAGAAAATCCTGCATTTGAGATAATTAAACGCAGATTGTTAGACAACGAATTTCAAGAACTTAGTAGTAAAATCAGGAACAGCTTCTGTGCAAGTCTAGGGATGGTGCGATGTGAGGAGCCAGTGGCTACTTATCTCCCATTGGACCAACCTGAATCAACACAGGGCATACATGCTAGCGAGACTGAATGTGCCACTTTCGGCAACACTGTAGGGAGATTCCACAAAATAACACTCGCAGAGAGACCATGCCCCTGAGGACAGAGTCATATAAAATCAGTTGTGCATGTTCTTTTGCACTGCACATGCATCAGTTGTGCACTGATTTTTTGTTAGCAGGGAGTGGCATTCAGATGAATGTAAGTTAGCGTTATGTTTACTCAGGATAGGGATAAGATGGAGATAGTAGTCAGGTTTCTGCAACATACAGTGAAGATTTGTGAATGTTATACAACCTTAATTTAATAGTTAGATGTAAATTTTGCTGAACGATTTTATTGTACTGAATCTTACTGGAATCTATATGCCCATAAAGGTTTGAGAAATGAGAATACTAGTTCGTGTGTGTGTGTGTGTGTAATTTTAATAAAGCTTTTAATATGTCTTTTAGTCTAGAACGGATGACAAGGTTAAACGATTTAAGAGAGCAGTTGCATATTATTCAGCAACCAATAAGCCTATGCCATTTCATCCACCGCATTACCTAGGTAAGTGTTGAAACTTACTTTGAGTTGAGTATGATACTGAGAATTTGGTTAAACAGTAGGAGATGACCTACACCAGGGAGGAGATGGGAGACAATAGAGAAATCGTACAACATTTATCCTATTAAATCAGTCAGATTTCACTTTGATATCCTGGATCAGTAGGCAATCTGACCCAGCTGTGGTACCTAGCAGGCACTCTTGTGTCTGCTCTAAGTGTTCCACTCGCTGCTGTCAGAGAAGTTCTGGTCAGTTGAAATTGATGTTACTTATTGGCAGATTAGCTTGTGCACAAGCAGATGTTGGCTTCTCTGCTGTGGTTAGTCACAAGCTCTGGCTTGGACATAACATTAAGCCAGCTAGTCTGTGGTTTGCGTCCCCACTGGGGGAGCAGAGTGTGAGTGCTCAAGTCAGTGTTGCACCCAGACATGGTCATTGTCTGCTGTGGACCTTTTCTCTGTGATTTCATGCCTCTGACCCAGAGCTTTCCAGACTTTTCATGTTGGTGGCACACTTTTTAGACATGGATCATTTTGCGATGCAGTAATCCAGTTTTACTAGCAAACTAACCCTGGGAGGAGTTCAGGGAGCGTTTGTGTGACACACCTACACACAGCAGCCGACACACTAAAGTGTCACGATACACAGTTTGGAAAGCTCTGCTCTGACAGCTTCTTTGCCACGTACATGGCAATACTTGATGCAGATTTAGAAAGGCAGCCGGTTAAAAGGGGGATTCCTGGGTGAGGTTATTGCTTGCTTTTCTCCTCCAGGATAGCATCCTATTTTGAAATGTTCTTGTGTGTAAGAGAGTGTGCGCATATGTGCCAGTGTGTCTCTTTGTGCAGAAATTCCTTTGAGCAAAGTGAATTTTGCTTCAGAAACAAGATCTAAAGAGCTTACAACTAACTTTATCCTGGATAAGTATTACATCAGATTATTATACACAAATACTGAGACTAGTCTTAACTATTTCTGAAAATGTTAGTGGTGTGCACCAACTACAATATTCAGTTTGGCCCCTGATTTGGGAAACAGCCCATTTCTGTCCAAGGGTGCACAGTTCAGCTTTGGGTTCATTCAATCTGCTCACCACCCAGATAGCTATTGGAAAGGCAAAAAAAAAAAAAAAAAAAAAAAAGGCTATATAAACTTTTTTCCTTTTTGGTGGAAGTGAATGAAATTTGCAGGTACACTAGCCCCTCCTGAGTAAAAGAGCATGCCAAATTTCAGAAAAATAAATCCACGGGCTTTTGTGCTGGATATCTTTCCACATTGATTTTGGGGTAAGAAAAACTAAAAGGGGCTTGCTTTCTAGGTAAAAACATTTTCTTTGATTCCAGCTTGACCCGTCATTCCACTCAGGTTTCATGATAAGCTTAGAGATACTATTTTTGTATTCAGCAGACACACATCCTGTAGGGTTTTTTAAAATGCCTTTTTTGATGAGCTACCGTGATGCATTTCCAGGGATCCCCACTTCACCCTTGGTGTCTCGTACAAATCCTGCTTTCCCACTGCCAAGGCATTCCTCTATGCTTTGGAATTTGTCTGAATACAGTGTACAGCCCTATTAAATAAAGAGGTAGAAGAGCACTGTGGTCATTTGTCATAACTAACTGTTCTAGTCTACACATGTAACCATATGGAAATCTAAAACTAGAATTTTTAATAAAGGTAACATTTGTTGCATTAGTGAAATAGTTTTTAAAATAGAAAATGCTTGGAACTGGGGCAAAACACCATCTGGATAAATGTCAGTTCCCCATCTGTGGGTTTTGTCTGTTCTGAAGTGATGTCACCTCACCTCAGTTTGCTGTGGAAATCACAGTAATTTGGGCTTGATCACACAGAATAGTGAGTTCTGCAAGACTTGCCTTTTTACGCCAAGACAGCCACACAATAACCTATCTATTCTGAGATAAGCTATCTTGTCAAAATGGTACAGATTTGAGTTAGTTTTACTTTTCTATCTCCCAGGTTGATGGGTAACATATATAAATCAGTTCTCTCTCTTCTGGAGAAATCCTACATAACAAGTCTTCATTAGACTAATTGAAAGCAGATATATTAATGGCTGTAAAGTGTTGTTTGAACTTGGTTTTCTCTTACATGATGTATCCATCTTCATGTGCCTGACTCTCTTCAAGTCTTGAATTCTGACCGACAGAGAGAAATGTGTTACCAATCAAAAAGACTTCTTAATAACTCGTTGCTGAGAGAGTATCCTGGTTAAAGTGAGAAAAGACTTCAAAGACTTCATATTTGTTCTTCTGTTCTTGCGTGTTGCGCATGAACTGAGGATATTAAAAACAAACCACTTCAGAACTGGATGCAGAATTAAAATTGCTACACTTCCTGTTCTGTGGGGATATAGAAAGTAAACAATGGATACTAAAATGGTGGGAGTGACTGTAACATAAACAGAACAGGAACAGATAGTGGAAAGAAAAAATAAATGATCAGACTAGGAGGAAGTGAATGTGTCTCCTGAGAGAGGCAGAAAATGAAACAAAACTGACAGTCAGTGTGTGTTGAAGTAACCTGTACTATAGGAAATGAGGTCAAAGCTTTAAAGAACAAAAGCCTAATATCAGGCATTTGTTCTTACATGATTACTTTTTCCTATTGAGGATTCACCTAAAATGCAACTCTGGCCAGGCTGTGCATGAGACTGAATTTGTTTTGATTTTTCCTGTACTAGCCAGACCAAATCAATTTGGAATGCCGGGTATAGTGCCACCGTATGTCTCTGCTCAGATGCTTAACATTCCACAGACCCCTCTCCAAGCAAAACATGTGGCAAGTATACTCTGCTTTTTCCTCTTTCTCCCCACCAGCACCCTTCAATTGTTTTTGAGAAATGTGTGTTGCGCATATATAGAGTATGAGCAGTTTGCTCTGATTTATGAAGAAGCAGCTATAATTTATAATATACTTCCCCCCCCCTTTAGGCCCAGCATATGTCTAGTCAAGGTAATACCCAAGGTCAGGGTCCATATCCCTATAGCCTCTCGGAACCAGCCATCACCTTGGATGCAGGTGGGAAAAATATTTCTGAGCAGAACAACTACAGCAACATTCCTCATGAAGGAAAACATACACCACTATATGAACGATCCTCTCCAATAAACCCAGCTCAGAGTGGGAGCCCCAATCATGTGGATTCAACATACTTTCCTGCCTCTTCTACATCATCATCTTCAGACAATGATGAAGGCAGTGGCAGCGCTGTGAAGTAAGTACATCATGTGTTTCTAGCAAGAAAGTTGCTAGTAGCGTCTTTGAATTTACTGTCACAGAGAAATGTTCCTGCACCTGCTGTTGTTTCTATATTCAGTTCATGTGATCTACTTAATTGTAATGTATTTTGTCTTTGTTTTGTTAACGCTGGTGGCACAGAAATGTTTTCAGATAAATGAGGAAAATTTAAAAAGTAAACTAATCTTGTATCAGCCAAGATGTAGAGGTTATTAAATTTTTGCTATAACAATGTTTATTAGTTGTGTGTATGATGTGCAGGGTAGGAAGTGTATAAGCTTATACCAGACAATGTTAAGTGTTGGATCCTTTAAAATGATTGATTTGTGAAATAGGTAGAGAGCAGAGGCAACAGTATTTGGCTTCCCAATTTCCCCTGGTTGGCTAAAGAGAGTGAAGACTTATTTCAGAAATTAGTTTATATCAGTTAGAAGGTTAGTAGCCCAATTTTCACTGGTATGTGCATGTGCCTATGTTAGCCATTTTTCACCTAAGGGGGGGGGGGAGCTCTTTTGAATATACAGTCATACCTTGGGTTAAATATGCTTCAGGTTGAGCGTTTCAGGTTACGCTCTGCGGCGACCCGGAAGTAACGAAACGTGTTACTTCCAGGTTTCTCTGCTTGCGCATGCGCAGACGCTCAAAATGATGTCATGCGCAGAAGCGGCAAGGCGCGACCCACAGACACGCAGTCGCGTGTTACATTCTACTCAGGATACGAACGGGGCTCCGAAACGGATCCCGTTCACATCCAGAGGTACCACTGTATATAAAACTTCATTGCCTGATCACCTGGAGACTACTCTTACTTGCCATAGGCCATCAGGTAAGTGGCTGTTCACCTGTCAACTTTACACAACTTAGGGTGCAAGTATCACCCCTAACAACGAACTTATGCAACAATCTTATTTTTGTTCCATCCTTTTAATAAATTCCCACGGATACTTCTAGAAATCCAAGATGAAATAATATGATATAATTAAAACATACAACAAGTACACTAAAAGCAGCAGTTTTAAAAGAACAGCTGCACTTAAGCCAAATTAAAATGCCTGGGGAAACAGAAAAGCTCTTTGTGTAGCACTTGACATTAGTGTTAAGCACCAGATGAGACGTCCTGGAGAAAGTATTTTGGCACCACAGGCTCTCTTCCAGGTGGAAGCGAACTTAGAAAAGGACCTTTGCTGAAAACCTTAGCACATGGGCAGTTTCATGTGGAGATACATGATATCACTGGTGCCCTCGACTCAAACCATGAAGGTGTGCTAAAGGTCAAAAACACTTTGAATTGAGCCTGGGAACAAACTCTGCAAATACAAAGGGTTGTGTTTATCTTGATACTATTTAACAGTACCTTTGAATTATAATTCTGAAAATAAAAATAGTGTGGCATTCTTTCCTCTCCAGTCATGTTGGTGGGAACAAATTGCGCTGGGAGAAAACAGGAACCCAGTCAGAAAATCAAGGACGTGGGGATCCAGGAGACCAAACAAAGGTACAGTCCTTCTTAGCACTATAGTCTGTGTTGATTAGACTTTATATGTACAGCTGAATCCTGTGATTTTTCTAAAAATAATAAAACTGCTTTTGTAAAGTGAAATTTGAAAAGTTCTTGACACCTGAAGGGCAATGAGCTCTGTGCATGCATGCATATGACTTTTAACTTCATTTGCAAGTATATTCAAATTTTACTTTCAAAATTTATCTTAGAGATGCTTGATATTTAGTTGCAAAGCTTCCACGTTTAAAGCTAAAGGAAGATGTTCCTGTTATAGATTACTTTTTATGTATATTACAGGCAGAAGGTTCCTCTACTGTTTCTTCAGGAAACCAGGCAGCTGAAGTTAAAGGGAACCAAGTCAATAGTGCACAAATCCCATGTCTGTTGTCAATGCCCACCAGGAACCACATGGATATTACCACTCCTCCATTACCACCTGTAGCACCAGAAGTATTAAGAGTGGCAGAGCACAGACACAAAAAGGGGTTAATGTATCCCTACATCTTTCATGTTCTAACCAAGGTAAGGTTTTCGGAGTTTTAAGTAGCACCATAATCCTAAAAGGATTGGTGAACGCTTGCTGTTGTCCCTTGCTTTTAATTAATTAGTGCAAACATAGCTGAAGCCCTGGTGCTTCTAAAGCTTTCCTTTCCTGGGGTTTCTAAAAATGTTTAGAACTCCCCCCTCTCCCTTTGAAATGCCATACCAACCATCTCTTTGGATCAGGGGAGATGTGAAGATTCTTGTATGCACTGGAATGCCTTCTGCTGTTGCACTCCCAAGATTCTGTAGCCTGTATATGTTAAAATAATTTAATAGCATTTCTGACTTCTTGCCCCATCAACCTATTCATGTCTGGCAACAGAGCCTGCTGGGCTTGACCCAAATGACATAAACAGGGTACTTCCACAGAAGTGGAAGAGACCCTGTTTCCCCTAATGCTGTTGAGAAAAACAGGACCATTCTTTTCTTCACAATTTACAAGTTATTCATCAGTGGGTCCTGATGTCCACAATTTTTAGGACCTTGATCTCAGTGTGCTTCTGTGGTGACTGGCTTGCACCAACATCAAGAAGTCCTCCAGGCAACTGCCCTCAGGCTGAACACTGGATAAAAAATGAATCAGTTAATCAACCAATGAGATTTTAGGTCTTGAATTATTTTTATTACGAAAAACGTATTCAAGACTTTAACGCAGAGTGGTTTCTTTATATTGTGCATTTTATCATAGCTAATAGGTGCTGAGAGCTAGACTACTACTACTAATGCTGGAATCTGCAAGAGTTTGTATGCTACTAATCATTTTGTTCATGTACAGGGTGAAATTAAAATTGCAGTTTCTATTGAAGATGAAGCAAACAAAGACCTGCCTCCTGCTGCTCTTCTTTATAGGCCAGTTCGTCAGTATGTTTACGGTGTCCTGTTCAGTTTGGCAGAAAGCAGGAAAAAAACTGAGAGGCTTGCCTTTAGAAAGAACAGACTTCCTCCAGAATGTATGTATCTGCCTTCTACTATTATTGCTGGCTGAGCTCAGACATCATACCAAACTATAGTTTGCACCAGCCATGTTTTAGAGTGTCATTTGAGCCAAACGTATAGGCATCTATGTTTTAGAGCTACTGGACTGCTTTCATTTTTCATCTGTTCAGCCCTCCTATGTTATCTATTTATTTTATTGAAACAGGATTTATATACCGCTTCATCATCTATAACCTCAAAGCAGTTTACATATTCCACATGGGCAACAGACGTCCACTTGCACAATGGAACTTCCCCCCTTCCTCCTCACCCTTGTCACCTGCTGTGCACCCTCAAAATCTGCTCCAGAGCCTCAGGAGTAGATTTGGGTTGGAGGAGTCATGGGGATTGAAGAGGAAGAAGTCCTGTTGTGCAAGCAGAAATCCATTCCCATAGTGTTGGATACAACCAATAAAATGCAATTAAAAGATTCTGGAGGAGAAACAATGGCCACAGCTATGGTTTATCAGTTCAGACATCACTGTCATTGTCAGTATAGCTGTAGTTTCTGATTAATGGATTTCTGACTGATTAAAAAATGGGTTTGTTAATTCAGATAGCATCCAAAATTAGTTAAGCTTGGTATAATGTTTGAACAGAGTCAGCATTTCCTTATAAAGCTTTATATACCACTTTTCTACTACAGTCTAAACAGCAGTTCTTTGAATTTTGCTACAAACACAAATCTTAAAACTTACTAATGCAGTTGTAAAACAGTAGCAGCAAAAGACAACATGATCTGTAGCTGAAATACAATATTTCATTCTTCCCCGACCTTGTTGGAGGAAAATGTATATATAATCATAGCACATTATGAATTCAATTTTGAAGTGACTTCTGGGTTACTTTAAAAAGTGAGTGTGTTGGAGGATTGAACTAAGTGCATTGTTAGGTTGTATTTTGTGTAAAATAGGCCTCTATCCTGAATGTTGACACAAGCAATAACCTTGACAGGACAGCACCAAACATGGGTTTTTTCTTGCAGATATGTCAAAATCTATAAAACTACTAGAAATATAATGAGTTAAGTCTCAATAATCCTGTCTGTTGGCATCAGGCAGGCATCTTTGGATTATTCTTTTTGGTGCCTGCTTAACATATTTTTGTTTAGGCAACCCTATCCAGACATGTAGAAGTTACATGTGCTCTGGGTTTTTTTAGCCATTACTGATTTTAATCACCTTTTGAATGTTTTAAAACATTTGTTTTTAACTTTTTATAGAGAATATTTTATTTTATATTTTTGTAAATCGCTTTGAGGTTTTCGTACAATAAAGCAGTATATACCTTTTGTTAAATAAAACAAAATAGGAACTACAGAACCGTCTAACTTGTGAAATGAAATCTTTTCTGAACCCAGTATTTCTGTTAACGTTTAGTATCTTGTATTCAGCATAGCTGGACAAGAAGAGCTTGAATATGTACCGTGCATAAATGTCCACCTATTGGACACAATTCACTGGAAATATGTCCTGCACAAGGTCCTCTGAAATTAATTCTTCTGATACAACTCAGACCAAATTCACACCAGAGTGGCATGGGATCTTTTGCCATTGCCTGTGCTGAGTGGGAAGGAACCATACCATTTGAGATGAAAACACTGTTCTGGAAACCTGGCAGGGGACAAGCGGGCAGAAGGGGTAAGCACCCCATCTCTTGCCCCCCACTCCTCATCTGCACGTGGTCCCTCCAATGCTGCTTTGCAGAGGGCAAACAGTGGCCTGGGTTTCCAAGTGTGAGTAGGCTACAGAATGTGTAGTTCTGGCCTTAGTCTGGCTTTCAGAAAACAGCTTTTCTGATATTCCCCAGAAGGCAGAGGTAAGATTTCTGTCTTCTGCATTTCAATCTCAATATTGGTTTGCAGTTTTAAAGAGCGTAACAAGATGGCAGTAGTGCTTGGCATACTCTACAAGTCCTACAAAAGCATCAAGCCTGAAGGGAGAAGCAGAATCTTACGGAATGCAGAAATGACCATGCACCAATATTATTTAACCAAGCTTCACCTTTGTTTTTGGCCTTTGCAAATCTCCATTAAGAAAATACATACAAGCAAACCCACCCACCCCCATTTACATACGTTCAGTATGTGCACAGCTGTGCATACACACACACATCGGAAGTGACCCGAAAAGTCACAAAAAGGGGCAGAACAGGGTATTTGCAGGTTTTTTCAATGGGGTTTCAAATATACGCAATTTCACTGACACATGCGATGTCTCGAAACGTAACCCCCGTGTAAATGAGGGGGTTGTCTGAGCTGACTTGGATGCTGTAGGTTAGTTTTCTGTTCAAACAAGGGGTGATAACAGTTCGCACCAACTCACCCTCTACCTGTTGCCCCCTGTACCATATCCCATACTTTTTTCTAGTATCCCCTTTCTTCCAGAAGCAGATTTAGAGGAAATGGACAGGAAAGCTGTATTCTGTTCACAAATGGAAAGTTAGAATTCAGGCCAACATACAATAACTTCCAAGATCAGGTAAAATCAGAGCTGGAAAGAGCCAAGTCTTGTCTCTCAATACATTTGACTCGTCCAATGGCATAGCCAGCCACCAACCTGCAATTTCAACTTAGGTGTTAATGCATTTCATAGAAATCTGGGAGATATAAAAATTATCAAGTGTTGTCCACGCAAATTAAACTGTATATGGGTAGCTTAAATATGCTGGCTGGATTTCAGCCTTGATAAATGTGTACAGAAGTTGAAAGTATTTGGTTTCCTTTTTTTCATTCTGTAGTCTCACCGGTGATAATTAAGGAATGGGCTGCTTACAAAGGAAAGTCCCCCCAGACTCCTGAGTTGGTAGAAGCTCTTGCATTTAGGGAATGGACCTGTCCCAATTTGAAGAAACTGTGGCTGGGGAAGGCGGTAGAGGACAAGAATCGACGCATGAGGGCTTTCTTGGCCTGTATGAGGTCAGACACACCAGCAATGCTCAACCCATCTAATGTGCCCACTCACCTTATGGTGCTCTGTTGTGTATTACGGTGAGTACGTTGACTGGATTTTTGTGTAGAATAAACACTCATCTAGAGCCACAAGATAGCCACCTGCTCTTATCCAAGGGTCAGCAACCTTTTTCAGCCATGGGCCGGTCCACCATCCCTCAGACCTTGTGGGGGACCAGACTATATTTTGAAAAATAAAAATGAATGAATTCCTGTGCCGCACAAATAACCCAGAGATGCATTTTAAATAAAAGGACACATTCTACTCATGTAAAAACACACTGATTCCCGGACCATCTACGGGCTGGATTGAGAAGGCGATTGGGCCACATCTGCCTACCCCTGCTCTAATCCATTCACAGACAGAGGTTTCCTTCCATGAGCAATTCCAGTCTCATTGCTGGAACAGGTTTTTCATGGCTCCGCTCTCCCTTTTCAGCCCACTGTACCACCTCAAAATTTGTTCCTGAGGGCTAGGTAGTCTGGAGTGGCTTGGGATATGGGGCTGGAGATCTGTAGGTAGAGGCAGCATCAGTGGTGATCATCCCTGTTGCATGAGTGCGAGAAAATCTTAGGATTCAAGTCCAGGTGTCTTGCCCTTAACTTTGGCAAGTGAATGCAAACCATATGGCTTAACTAATTTAATCTAGCATTAATAATATCTCTATGATGACGTAGTTTTACATGCGCTTCCAAGCTTAGTGTGCTTGAATTTTTCATATTAAATTTACTGATCTAATATACACCGGGGTTTTTATTGTTGCCACAACGCTAGCTTAAGAAGCCTACTGTAAAGCACTTCTTAATTTCATTGATTTCAATAGCAGAATTAAGAATGGAATGTAAATGTCTCCCAATTAAAAAAACAATGGGACTTTTAAGTGCTAACTTTTTGCAGGTTTGTGCCAAGTATTGTTATGTCATTACATAATTTCCATGCGGTTGTGGGACTTTCAATTCCTATATGCAGAAATTATAAGCAATGGTACCACAGCTTTCCAAGCAATGCTGATTCAGTGCTGTCTGTCTCTGTAGATATATGGTGCAATGGCCTGGGGTTCGGATACTTCGTCGCCAGGAACTTGATGCCTTCCTGGCTCAAGCTTTATCTCCAAAACTATATGAACCTGACCAACTACAGGAACTAAAGGTGACCTTAGAACCTTGCTTCTGTGGGGCTTTTAATCCATACTTAATACAAGCAATCCCATTTCTTTGTCAGTACTCTTAACTTAATCCATATGCGTGTGTTATGCAAATGTAAGTGTGTGTGTGTGTGTGAGAGAGAGAGTGTGAGTGAGAGAAGGGGTTCTGGTTTCAACTCCAAGTGAACTCTAACTTGTTCATCGTAATTGTGATATCATCTATTCACTTCTTTACTTGGTATTTTATTTCCTTTGCATCTGTAGCTTTCAAACTTGTAATAAAGGGTTTCCCAAGAATATATCACTTTCCTTGATTCTCTCTTTTTCCCGTGGAACCCCTGTGTGTCAGCTATAAACCAATATATCTTTAATTATTTCATGGAACTAATTGTGCATCTTCTGTTCAGGAAATAGTCACTTTAATTATAGTCACTTTAATTAGCCGACCCTACTGGGTAACCCTAGGGTTTTAGTGCCTAACCTTGAAACAGAGGGGTTTGGACTTCTGCTAATTACGTATACTAGTCAAAGTTCTGTCCCATCTCAAAGGAGTCATTGTTTTTGTTTGCCTTGTCTATTGCTTCCCTTTCCTCACCTTCTCTACTTTCCTGGTCCCCAGTCCGTCCCCCATCACTGCCCACTGCTTTCTTGCTAGCAACTTATACTTCCTTAGAGAGGTATATCTCCCACCATGGCTCTCTAGCCCATCTCACTATCCAAAAAACAAAGAAAACAAAAGAAGAAACAGCCTATTGCGGACCGTGCATGCTCAGTGCACACAAAATGCTGAACTCAGGGAAGAGGGTGGGAAACCAGGGAGAAGGGAAATGGAGTAGAGTGGCCAGAACCCTGGACAGAAGTGTTACATTTTGTTGCAGGACCTCTTTTTCTTTTTTTTAAGCTAAATATACTAGTAAGAAGTGATATGCCTAAACTTTTACTGTGGTTGTTTGCTATTCTACTAACTGGATTAATAAAGATCTGCATCTCTAATTTCCATAGTACTTTCTGCTAATAAATACATTCATTTCTCATGGGGTTGCTTTGTTTTAAATATTTTCTTACTCATAACTTGTTTCGACATTCTTTTTCACTCCCAGCCCCATGCTGCCATACAGTGAGGGTGGTCCTTTTCTAGCTTGTCTTGCCACAGGGAGAAGTGGAACAGCCAAACTGATCCCGGGACTGTTCAGAATCCAGTGCCCATGGCAAACCTAAGTCCTTTGTTTTGATACGGCTTTTTTTAAGCATTTCCAAATAGATTGCATTCCTAAATTAACTGTGGAATCTCTAGGTTTGGCTATTCATTACCCCTATTGTGAAGGAGGGGCCTGCAAGCCTTATCTCTTCCCACAAACAACCTAGGAGGGAAGGAGAAGGGGAAAAAGCAGAGTTTTCTAAATAGCCTGCTTTCTTGTACTAGTTTTTCCACAGTGGTCAAGTCCTGAAAAAACAGTTATCTGCAATTTACTTGTATTTGTATTAAATAGTCTGCAGTGGCCACATTTTTCAGATACAGAGAAATGTTTAACTACACACAGGCAGACTATTTTAATGGGCTTTAAGCAAGTTTAACTTAACTAGCAGGTGCAAGATCATGTGGCTTTACCTGTACTCTTCCAGTAATAAGCTCTTAATAAGTGTGCTTGAAGCCAATAACTTTGTATGGCTGGTAGTCAACTGCGGTTTCATTTTCTGTCTTCCAAGATTGAAAATTTAGATCCTCGAGGAATTCAGCTGTCAGCATTGTTTATGAGCGGTGTTGACATGGCATTGTTTGCAAATGATGCTTGCGGGCAACCGATTCCTTGGGAGCATTGTTGTCCATGGATGTACTTTGATGGGAAGCTGTTCCAGACCAAGCTCATCAAAGGAACCCGGGAGAAAGTTCCTCTCATTGACCTCTGTGATGGTCAGGTATGTTCGCTCCTCAGGGGTCTTTTATGCCTATGGAAATTTCACTAGTTTTGAGTCAAGTTAGTCAGTTGCAAATCCCTTTGGTAAAAAATAAAATAGAATGCTTACTTTAAATAAATCATATTTGGTAATTAGATTGACTTAATTTGGAGGGCTATTAAGTCAAAAGGTTGGTGAGTCATACTTTATCTAACATATGTTCATGTGCGTAAATAAAAAGAGCTTGACAAATTGAATTGACCCTATCCCACTAAAGATCCTGGTCCTGTTTGAATACAGAATACTATGTTTATGAGTTTAAGACCTGATGCTGATTCTTGATTGATAAATGATTTTGTAGAATAGCATATTTGAATTTAGAAGGGGTCAGTCAGAATATTTAGCTTTCTAGAATAAACACGTAAGAAATATGTTGGTTTCTCAAGATACTCCTTCTGTCACCACTCAGAGATGCTGACATGGGGCTGGGCTGGATCTTCTTCCTGTGAACTGTAGGAAGGAAGACGTTGACCAGAACAGGGTTTGGACCAAGAGGCACCTCCCATTTGTCGTTCAAATGTGTTTGTGCTGTGTGTTTTTTTATTGTAGACTGAACAAGCTGCCAAGGTTGAAAAGATGCGCCAGAGCATCCTCGAAGGCTTAAATTTCTCCCGGCAGAACCATCCACTCCCTTTTCCTCCACCGCCTGCCATGCCTTTTTATCCAGGTTCTGTATACCCTCGGCACTTTGGGCCACTTCCACCACCTCAGGGCAGAGGCAGAGGCTTTCCTGGTAAGCATGTGTCACTGTTAACATGTAGCATTTCATCCAAAATAAATTTTGACAGTGTTATTAGTATAATTAGGCAGGCTTGCCTGGCGCCACCGTTCTATATCTTTAGGCATCAGGCAAAAACTTCCTCTATAACCAGACCTTTGGCCATTAACTATCTGTGGCCTTTTAGAAGTGGGTGGGGTGTTTTAAATGTATTTCTCTTTCCCCCTAAGTTTTGATGTATCTGTGTTGGGTGGCAGGTTTGTTTGGTTTGTTCTAAGTCTCTTTGGGTGGCCTTGGACAAGGTAAAGCAACTAACATATTTAATAAATAATAATCACTATAATACTATTTGTATAGTGCAGTACTGTGAGATATGTTTCCTTATTTATATGGTTTAGCACATAAACATGTTTACCATCTATAACAATCATGGCATTTGTCATTGTGTGTTAAGTAACTGAAAACCTGGGGGGGGGGGGTTGTCAGCTGGTGCTCCCTGTAACTTGTGGACCACCAGATCCTTGAGTTTTACAGGATACCAATGAGTCTTATGGTCTACCATTGCAAGCTTTAATGCAGTGGTGGTTTCTTGTGGCCCCCAGATAAAATAAAGGAAATTCAGAAGGAGGCATCACTTTTGGTCTGTCTGTTTGGAAGCGGTTATGAGGAGGGTGTGTTACCCATGGGTGGGGGGGAAGGCAACCCGAGTGAGGGTGTACTCCTCAACAATTCACATATGACCCAGAATGGTTGGAGACCCCTTGCATCGTCATACTTGATGTAAAGTTCATGCTTCTGTATGTCTGACAACTGGGAAATAACGTCTGGTCATCGTCTGACACGATGTGGAGGCAGTATAAATTCAGTAGAATATATTGCAGTACAGTCTGTTGCATGATCACATTAGTGTCTTAAGGTTTATGTTTAACTGCCATGACCTCCTTATAAAATGACATACTTAAAGTGACATATAAGCCAACGGTCCAAAATGGTGGATAGGGTCCATATCTTCTGCCTGTTGAAGAATTCCTGTACAACAGGCGGTCAACTGTAAATTAAAAAATGGTTGACAAACTCTCTATGTTCACCAATTTCTGGTTGGGCGATGGGACTTCCATGTTTGCTCTTGGGTGCTAAATCAGCATATTCTCAATGTGCAGCCCTGTGCTTTTGGAGGGAAACTGTGGTCACACCAGCAGAGGTCAATAGCTTATTTTTCGGGGGAACTCCTGTATGTCCCCCTTCCCCCTCACGGTTTCCCCCTGTCTCTTTCCCTCTGGGTCTCACAGGAGTCTATGGCTTTGGAGGCCCCTATGGGGAAACAGTTGCAACAGGCGCTTATCGAGCCTTCCGGATGGCTGCTGCAGGAGGACACTCCGGAGCCTTCTCTGGCAATGACGGCAACAGGACTAGCAAGTTTCAGGGCGGTAATTATACCAAACCCCTTTTCTTAACATCTTATGGCAGTCGCCTTCTTCACCTCACCCTGGTCTGAGATTTTTAAACAGGGACCTCCTTGCTTTCTCTCTCCATCCCTCTCTCCTGTAACCAAACGCAGCTGTCATTTTGCTGTACAACCTACCCCCTCGGATTGCTGTCACGTCGTTCACTAACGCCTATTACTCAGAACTCTGTGACATGCTACAGGAGTCACATTCTCGCCTCCAAAATTAAACGCACACCTGGTGAAATGCACGTATTCTTTTAAAGGTTTGTTTCCAATTTTTGGACAAACAATTTTTCAAAGGCAACATGCGCTTCAAGACTGGGGTTTTTTGCTTGTTTTGAAATCAGCTGCGGGATAAATACTTTGGAAAATAAAAGTAGCAGGAAACCTTGCTCAGTGTTGCTGATGTTTTATTTGTAAGTAGCTCATAGGTGTTAATGTTTCAGAAGCTGGGCATGCACTTCTTAAGGGAACAGAATTTTCCCCAATTTCCTCCTTAAAAAATAAAATAAAATAGTGGAACAGGAAGCCCCCCCCCCCCCCCGCATTTTAATTACTTCCAACAAATTCCTGCAAGCTCCCTAACATCAGAGCTTTAGCTAGTAACTGACACTTCTGGTTCTCTGAAGCCCAATGAAGCAGCTGCTGTACTATTAGAGTTGATTGTACAGTATAGAGAAGAATGTACTTCCCTGCCTTCACTAGCGCTGTAGTAATTAGTAAGTTAACGCTGGGGCCTAATTTGTAACCACATTGCTTCTACCTGTTTAAACCCTTTCATTTTATCAGCTTTAACAGTCATATCTAGTTAACATTTATCCCATAGATTATTGGAAATGATTTGATTATGTAAATACTCACACGTGAACACTTGAATTTGAGTTGAGACATATTCTCGAACAGAGAGGTAATGAAGGTTCTCTCCCCACCCCCGAGTGTTTAAAAGATAAAACATATGTGGGGTGGTTAAAAGTGGGGATTTCTGGCATTCTCTTTGCATGCAAGTAACTCGCATCTTACTGTTTATTTTACTTACAAGATCGCAGTTGTGCATGGTGTGCAGAAAGAAACAATTGGAGACTGGAATAAACCCACTCTTCCTTTATTTGTTCCCCTTCCCCACCTGCGTACAGCTGCAGTCGCAGGTTTACCCAGCTTTGGGAAGGTGCCACGAGACTTCTGGGACCCAGTATCCAGTGGTCTTGGTTAAGCATGAGGCCATTGAACCTAACTGGATAAAATGAGTGCAAAACAGTCAATAATCTCAATGGGATCTAATCTTGAACAGGGGTGTGTAGATTGTAAGTGTAGCATGCGTCAGATTATTGTAAATTATGATGCTGATAATGTTACCCCCCAGGAAGGACCATCCAATCCATTTTAAATAAATTAAAAGAACCTTAGTACAAAACTTAGAATCTTTTGTGCCTGAATGTGCAATGTTCCTTTCTTTAGAAGGAAAGCAGTATTTTCAGGGAAAGTTGGAAGTCCATGTACTCTGTTCTCTGAATTATAGCTGCAAATAGCAATCTCTCTTTTCATCTTTGTACAGGTGTCCAACCTATTCCTTCTCAGGGAGGGAAACTCGAAATAGCTGGCACTGTGGTTGGCCACTGGGCTGGAAGCAGACGTGGTCGTGGAGGGAGAGGGCCGTTTCCTCTGCAGGTGGTTTCTGTCGGAGGGCCCACAAGAGGGTAGGCAGAAATAAATCTTAAATTAATATTGTCTTGGCTTTGGAATTTAGCAATGGCAAAAAAGTGGCAGCTGGCTTTTATTAAAGTACAGAAAAGGGCAATTATTGTATCTTTTATTTCAGAATGTTTGGGTGTAAAAAATGAATGTGGGTCAGACATTCTGAAAAGATCAGGAATGATTTTACCTAATGGGATGTTAGCTATAATTATATCAGCTATATATAACAGTTAATATCTTTCATGTTGACCATTGATCTGAACCAAATCTCAACATATAATTCTTTCACTATTGTTGCCTGTTTTTACTTATATTTTTCTAAGGCAGCTGCTGCCTATAAGGTGTTGATCATTTTAGAGGAAGAGGTACTTTGGTTAAGCAGTTTATTTAAAAACGGCAATGAAGAACAAACATGGATCAGTACAGGCTAAACTAGTATGAGATTAGTAAATGTTAACTTCCGAGCATTAAGAATTACTAAAGAGATTATATTTGAAACTTGGCAGCAGGATTAATGGGGGGAAATAGGTGCCGACTTCTATTCATACCAGTTTTCAATGTTTGGTTTGCTAGTACTTTACACAGCAACTGCAAGAATGTAAGTGGAAGAAACATTTGTTTGAACAACTTTCACATTATAAAAAATAAATATTTTGAGAAGCTTCTTAATGATACAGAGAACTAGCTTTCTGATTGTGAGGAGCAAAAGACTGTGCTGTGGGGTTTTTTTTTTCAAATGGAAACTTTCTTTTTTCCTTTTAAAAATACAGAAACATATCTAAAGTTTAAATGTGTTTTTAAATTGTTTCTCACTCAATGCAGACGCCCGAGAGGAGTTATTTCCACTCCAGTGATAAGAACGTTTGGCAGAGGAGGAAGATACTATGGGAGAGCATATAAGAACCAGGGAACAATTCAGGTATTGGGAGAAATCATTTACGAAACTGAGAGTCAGAAAAGATTTTGGTAACGTGAGTTTAGGTGACAATCATGTATACACCAATTTAACTATAGACATGGGAGTAGGAGGATAGACTGCATGAAATAACCATATGACCGTAGAACTAAATTATATTGGCCTTTAATTTGACTTGCTTTTGCTGTCTTTCCCCCTATCTTGGGGGTGGGGTGGAGTTTGTGAATTGCACTCACCTCTTTCAGAGGTTAATACTTAACATAGGGCACAATTTGCCCTAGGGAGCCCCTTCAGCGGAAGTCCTGTGCAAAGAATTTCCATTTCCCCTACTCTTCTTTCCCTGAAATTGGCTCGGGGGGGGGCGGGATAGGAGAACCCCCAGAGCAGGGGGAAGGATAGTTCCCCCTGGCAAGCCGATGCTGAATCCCTCCTTTATCTGCAACTCACACCTTTTGTTTTAGCTCAGTAATCAAAAGGGTAATAGGGTTTACTGCCAACATGGTCAGCTTACTTCATCATTTTCCCATTGCTTTTGTTGCACTCTGATTCCATTTGCTCAGCAGTTCTGGATGTTAAATTAAGTCTTGTAATATAATATACTGGCATTAAGCAGATGAGATTGTCAGGAGTGCATGATAAAACTAATTTTTCACATACATATCTGTACTTAAAGGGTCACATATATAAAGCAACTCAAGATGGAGAAGGGGAATAATAGAAAGGGCAATGTAAGTGATGTCTATGTGGATATGTACACTTACATAGACACCTTACATTGGATCTGCAAAAGAACTGGATGAACAACATAATTGGGGGTTTCCACATTTTGATGTCAGGATTGGCATGCTTTTAAACAGTGATTCAGATACCTAAACTGTTATCATATTTAATTATGGGTGATATTCAGCTGTCGTGTGCCACCGTTCACATGTCATGGCAAGCCAAGTTATAACTTACGGGGACCATTCAAGTGTGCTGGCTCTTGGGAATGAGATTGCAGCTGCTTTGTTCCCCACCAGTCCTTTTAGCTTAGCCTGGCACAGCAGCTAAGCCAAGATTCGACTTAGCATGCCATCCAAATCCAGGATTGTGGTTAAGGAGGACAGAGCTTAATCACAATTCCAGGTTTGGACAGCCTACAAAGTCAAAACTTGCTTTAGCTGCTGGCTGCCCTGAGCACAAACTGCCAAGGAGGAGAGAATCATCTGCAGCCTTCTCCTTGGGAGCCAGCAGGCCGTGATTTGGCCAGCTTTGCCAGATTTGTCGCTTGCTTCTTAAAATGAAATCTAACTTGCTGAACAGTTTCCAAGTGACTGGTCAGCACTCTCCTTAATCCAGAGTGGCTCTTCAGACCATGAAGAGTAGGGCAACAGGTCCCAGGTGTGAGTTTTTGAAATTTTATTTCTAGTTCATATTTGTAAATGCTGTGTCAATCCAATAAAGGAAAATAAATAATCTTGCATGGCATCTACAGTAATTTCCAAAGCGATAGCCAAGTTAGTCTCTCACAGCAAAAAGAATAAAGAGACTGACACATGTATGGTGGCCTTCAGTTTTATGGACTCAAGACCATTTCACACATCTGAAGCTTAAAAGCTTATGTCATAACAAATGTGCTAATCTTTAATAGCTATTTGTTTTACTGCAGTAAGAAACCAGAGGAGCATGGCCCAGTTTGCATATACTGCTCAGCCAAATGTGGTTTGGTGTGAATGAGAGAGAGAGAGAGAGAGAGAGAGAGAGAGAGAGAGAGTGTATGAGATTGCAGCTGCTTTGTTCTTCCCCAGTCATTCCTTTGCTGCACGACAATAAACCGTTTAGTGCAATACAGGGTTGGGAGACTGGATCTGGCGAGTGAACCAGATCCTTACTTTGCCCTCACCCATTGGCCAACTTAGGGGTGGGGAGGCCCGCCTGTCAGTAAGTCACCTGACATCAAAAGGATGTCTCGTGACCTGCTTTCCTTTGCTTGCGCTGATTGCCGATCTGTAGTCCCTTCTGCCTCGCATATCTGACATCATTGAGGGCATGTGTGTGTGGCTTGGTCAAAGCAGCAATGTGGGCCAACTGGCAATGCCTGGCAGCTTAATTAGGTCCATAGGCCAGAGCCTCCCCATTAGCCTACCTTGACAGTTAAACCCCAGCTCTTAGCTTACCTCTTTTCAAACCTTGAGCTGTAACCAGAGTTTGTCCTATACAGTAGAACCTCTACTTACGACCGCCTCTACTTGGGCTCGATCCAAGTTGCGACTGCAGCAAACCCGGAAGTAAATACCAGGTTTGCCGCGATTTGCACACACTCAGAAGCGGCTTCTGCCATCTGCACATGCGCAGAAGCGCGTTGCTGCCAAATGCGCCTGTGCACAACGGCGCTTCTACCAGCGACCCGGATCAACTTATGGACGGACCTCCGGAACTGATTATGTCCATAAGTAGAGGTTCCACTGTAGTTAACAGCTTCTGGTTTGTCTGGGAGCATTTGACCATGAAGAGTGCAGGTTTGGACACCATGCTAAGGCATATCATGGCTTAGCTCAGCAGAGCAGCTGTGGAGAGGACTAAAGTAGCTGCTGTCTCCTCTCCATACTGAGCCAAGGACTCTGAAGGGCAATACTGCCCTACCTAAATTATGTGCTTATAACCCATCTGTCTTCTCTTTTATTTTAAAATAGGGCAAACCTCCTTATGCTGCTTCAGCAGAAGAAGTGGCCAAAGAACTTAAGTCAAAATCAGAGGAATCCAAGTCCTCTATTGTGTCTTCAGAAGGATCCCTGGCTGAAAATGGAGTAGTGAACGAGGAGAAACCAGCCTCCCAGATGAATGGGAGTACAGCAGACGTCAGGGCTTCCAACCAGTCTGAAAGTGCCTTGAGTAATGACTCTAAAACGTGCAATACAAATCCTCACTTAAATGCACTAAATGCAGACAGTGTTTGCCATAAAGATGATACTCTTGAGGCCACTGTCTTAAAAAAAGAAGAGTAAACTTATTTTTTATAGAGGGTGAAGGATGTTGGAAGGGTCAGGATTAGGAATATCTGGAAAGAAAGAGAGCCTACAGTTACGTACATTTTTTCCTTTCCGTAAGAGAAAAATGAGGACTTTGGAAATTTGGATCCCTCTTGGATGTCAGAGATTTAAAGAACACATTTTTAGTTTTAACCAGTTGTAGTCAAAATGCTACAATACAACAAAAATGAAAGAGAATGAAGAGCATTTGACTCCCGCACTTAAAATGAAGTATACACAAAGTTTAAACTGGTTATGACAAAAGCTCGTAGTTTTTGTTTCTTGAGATATATTAAAAAAACAACAACAAATTTTGGCAGTCTTTCAGTATATATAGCTTGAAATATAATTTTTAGTATTTGGCACCATATGTATGCCATTATATTTGATTTTGCATTACTGTGTCACAAAGCTTTCTTTAAGGCTTTGATTTCATGATTATGGGGGGGAAAGGCACAACCACAGTTCTTTCTTTTCTTAAATTTCATCACTGTTGATGTGGTTCTTTTTATGTTTAAAATGTGCAAACTATCAAAATAAAAAAAAAATTATAGAGTAATATTGGAGTTCTGCTGATTTTAAATATACATCATACATACTTTACAAGCAAGGTAAAATGGATTTAACTTTAAAATCATAGAAGATGCAAATGACCTTTTCAAAACAAACACAATGTGTTCTGATACTTTTCGTGACTAATACCATGCATCCGTGATCAATGAACTATGTGGTTTTGAATCAGACGTAGACCATTAGTACTACTATTTGAGCTAAACTTCTGCATGGTTCATAATTTTTAAAGTGTGTAGTTAATATTATGCATGTTATTGTCCTCTTTCTTCCATTCTTACAAGTACTGTGCCCATTTGCAAAACAAAAAAAAAAGCTAATAATCAGTAATAGTCCTATAAAAGATGTTAACTATGTTTAGTCATTGACTGATCTTGCTCTAACCTTAAAATTTTGTGATTATTGACCTCTGTTGCATTTATTCTAAAACAAAAAAATTATCTAGCCGTTTTGAATATCAACGTTACCCTGGTGTACTCATTGCTGTATGCATTATTGTTCTCTGTTGCTGTTTTATGCCTTCATATTAGCAAATATGAAATTCTGTGGAAAAACAAAAAAAAGCTTTGATCTTCAAGAAATACCCCCCTTCTGTAGCAGGAAACAAATGGCTTGTTCTTGAGAACTTTCCCATCAAGAATTTAGTATAAGCAAATATACCTGTATCATTTTGATGTTTTTGTTAGTGTTTCCAAACTTAATGTACTTCAAAATCAGAATCATTTCTTTATATTTGTTTTCATATAATTCTCCTGATGCTCTTCATCACACATTAGTGATCAGAAATGAGGTGTAATTCCCCATTCCCTGCCCGCAAGAGCTAAGTAGGTATCTTAATGTAAGTTGAAGGGAGTTCTGCCCCAACTCATGGATTGTGCAAGAATGAACTACTGTTGGGTTTGATTGGTTGTAGATGGATTGTGGTGTGGTGTATTTGAAGGCTATTGAATGCAACTTACAATGCTTAATAAAAATCTTTATTCTTTTAGTATAAAATTGCTGTACGGCGTCTTGATTTGTATGCGCTCTTGTCATCCTAAGCCCCTATAAAATTCTCTTTTTCACAGAAAAAGAAGCAGTCCTCAAGCATGTTTTCAGTGCTTCCTGTTGAGCCCAGAAATGTAAAGTTAATAAAATTACAATAGCACAGTGCTATTAATTTATTACAGATATTTATAAACAGCTTTGCAGTCAAAATATATCAAATCATCCAACAATAAGATAAAATGAGTGGTAAAATGCAGACTAAATTTAATAAAACCATTTCTACAATTAATTTTTCAATTGAAAATTCAATCGGTTAAATTAAATAACTGGGTCATCTTAAGGAAAGCCTTCAAAATGTCTTCAGTAGTTGCCTAAGCTTCAAGATGCTATGTATAAAGGTAAAGGGACCCCTGATCGTTAAGTCCAGCCGCAGACGACTGGGGTTGCGGCACTCATCTCGCTTTACTGGCCGAGGGAGCCAGCGTTTGTCCGCAGACAGCTTCCAGGTCATGTGGCCAGCATGACTAAGCCACTTCTGGCGAAACCAAAGCAGCCGAAACGCCGTTTACCTACTTGCACTTTGACGTGCTTTTGAACTGCTAGGTTGGCAGGAGCTGGGACCGAACGACGGGAGCTCACCCCGTTGTGGGGATTCAAACCGCCGACCTTCTGATCGACAAGCCCAAGGCTCTGTGGTTTAGACCACAGCGCCACCCACATCCCATGCTATGCATGCACCTGCCTAATTTCACCTGGTAACTTATTCCAGAGGTCTGGAATTGTAGCACTAAAACCCTTGGATTTTAGTACAAACGTAAGTGCAACTCTGAGGCATGCAGTGCTTTCAGCAGTGCCCAGGTGCTAGACAGAAGGTAGCCTCTTTTGGCAACCCTTGGTTGAGGGTCTTCCTCCTCCCACCCCGAAACAATGCTTTGATTTATGCCCTTGCTATTGGCAACTATTGATTCAGGAAACAACCTGATGGCCGCAGGATACAATTTCTACTGTATGTTATGGAGCTGGGGTGGGAATTCACTATAGGGTGCCATTTGAATCAGCGGCCATGCGTTTTGAGCTATGTCATCTCCCTGTTTGATCCGGCAGGAAATCTAAGGGCATGTTTACGGGAACAACAGAAATTAGCCACCAAAGAAGCTTGATTTGCATAATTCCTAGCTCATTTCTGATTGCCACAATTTCTACCGCTTTCCAAACTTTGCTTTAGGAAGGCTGTGATAATTTGCAAATACTATGTCTTGGTGAGACTGCCACATGAATGTGCTGGCTTCACACGGAAGGAAGCTCTTGTCTTTTTTGTTGGGATGGCTCAAATGTGCAGAGAGGTTGGGGCAGGAAAAACCGTCCAGTTATTCATAAACAGCTGCTTATTTCCAATGTGAGGTGCTAGCCTTGGGGATGCCAGCAGTTGCATGTTAACTAATCCAAGTGCTGGCTGGTGGTGGAGTAGTCTGTTCTTCATTGTCAAGAGGAGGCAGCTGTTTCTTTATCTGGGTAAATAATTGATAATAGTCTGGAATTAGGCTGCCTTTGTATATTTTCATCCATTCCTCTATGTTCTCCTAGACTATTGAGGAGAAATACAAAATTACCAGATCAGAGTGAATTGGAATCAGTACAGTGCATTTCTGGGCCATGGAAAACAGGTTTCTAGTCCTTGTGATCAGGAATAATGTTTATTAGATAAAGGGTGGAGGTGGGAAAGCATTGCTAAAGATGCTGGAGCAAACTGCCTCTTCACAGTTTGCGATTCCTACTTCCTAGTTGTCTTCCTCTGCCCTGCTACTCCTGCCCTTCTCTGCTGCCCCTCAAATTGTAAAAGAAACCTAGTAGTTTGCATGCATGATTTGCCCAAAAAGTAAATATGCATTAGATGGTGAGCGCATGCAAAGATGTTTAATCCACAGTATCGGCAGCAAAAATAAAATAAAGGTATTTTATCCAAATTGGGTAGGTAGATTCATTGCAGTACTAGCATGTGCTCCAGTGCAATTGGAACAACAATTCTGATTTTCGTCAGCATGAACAATGTTGTTTAAACAAAGTGCATTGTTATATTTCACAAGCATAGCACAATGTTCTGAAGAAAACGTGATGTTTTGTATGAATTGATACAGTACGGTAATTTGGAGCATTGTAAGAAATGTGGTTATGCGGTCAGGTGCATGGGGCCTGTGACGGACGCCATCTCATTACATTTCTCATAGCTCTACAAGCTCCCTCTACTGTGTCCTTGTAGTGCTCAGCAATTGCTATTTGGAAAGCAAGTCATTCCATCCCCTCTCTGCCTGTGTTTTTAGTAACACAGTTAAATCTGACTATAAGAGGGATTTCCAGAAGGGAGCTTTGCAGCTGAATTCTGAGGATTTTTACTACTATTTCTGGTTGGGCTTGGGGGTAGGGAAAGCAAGATGGCTGTATTGGCTAATGGCTCCATTGTGAATCTGGGGAAGGCACATGCCTCAAACCCGGGAATGGCACTTTCTGAAATAATCTGCTCAGCCTATATAATGATCATATAAATAAATGGGCCTGGAAGTGCAGTGCGTCTGATCTGTAAGCCATAATGCTACTGAAACCGAAAGATGTGCTCTGGTAGTGGCCGTCTAGCAGGGCTGGGAGATCAGCTCTCCCATACCCAACTGCAGCCACCTACAAAATCAAAAAAGGGGGAAAAATAGGCTTTGCTATTGCTGACCTGTGTGATCCTTTGAGAGATCGTTCTTCATAAAGTCAATGCCAGGTACAGAGAAAGAGCTATAAAGATAATAGATGAGAGGCTTCTAAGCCCCATTGCTGGAAAGGTCCCTCTTGTAAGATTGGCTTGAAATCCATTTGTAAGATTGGCTTAACAAATCAACTTCTACTTGCCTGGGAGTCCTGATGCGCTGGGCTATGCAACCATTCCACAAAGGAACAAACTTTCTCTTGGTCACTGATTTCCGCATTCCAAAATCCTACCTTGAATAGACAGCCTTTCAAGGGTTTGGGCCAAACCGCAAATGACCTAGTGGAGGGAATGAACCAAGGGCCTGCCCCACATAAGTTTTCTTGGGACAAGAGCAGCACATGTCCATACATGAAAGCAAAACTCAGTTTTCATATGTGTATGTGCATGTTTTATGTGGTGGGGGTCTGGTTGCTCTGCCGTCTTTGAACCCCAGTTCACCTTGCCTGAGCAGTAACAAGCAAAGCAGAGTTCCTAGCAGAGTAGAATAAGATAGTACCACATCGTCTGGGCAGAGTGGGGTAGCAGCACAGCCTTCCACAGGACCTATTTTATAAAGGACTGCAGGAAAGATTTAGGAAATAGTCCTGGCAGAAACACAAATAAATTTGCACATCTTCTGCGTAAACACAGGCTCACTTCTCCTATGCAAAGTTTATTTAAGATCCTACAGCATGTTTCTGCCCTGAATTTGTCTGTGCCAGTTAGCTTGCAGTCACGTTTTCCATCTGGGAAAATTGATTTGTGTCTCCATGTTCTTGATTTTACATCTGAATAAGTGGCTTCCACTTGATGGCGACGCATTTGCCTCTTCTTCAGTTTCTTCAAAGATGTTCTTTGCATGTCATGGACAAGGGTGATGAGGAAAGGAGGGAAGGTTTATCCCAGCAACATCCAATGCTGTTCGTTTAGGGTTTCGTTGATGCTGCCAAATCTGCGAAGGAATGTATGTCAGAATACTGCCATAAAATATATTTAAAAGGTTTCCTCCTTTAAAAAAAAATCTAAAAGTTTGCCACTGCACTGACATAACCACCATTTTCTCGTTGGACTCTCTGGCATAACAGACCAGATTTTGGGTGCCATCTTCTCTGCAGAACCAACTAGTCTGACAGGTTTTTCAAGGTAATGTTTAGCATATGATTCCTACTTCACTCCCAAAAGCACACTCTTCCATTGTCCCTGAGACAGACAGATGCCAACCAATTCCTCTTTTTGTATGGGTTTATGTACCAGAGATCAATACTAGTTGTTTTTTTTCCTGCTGGTAGCATCCAATTAGAATTGTAGGACAGTTCATATTCGACATTACCAGCAGGGAGAAGAGATGGAACATGTTCATAGAATCATAGAATCATAGAGTTGGAAGAGACCACAAGGGCCATCGAGTCCAACCCCCTGCCAAGCAGGAAACACCATCAGAGCACTCCTGACATATGGTTGTCAAGCCTCTGCTTAAAGACCTCCAAAGAAGGAGACTCCACCACACTCCTTGGCAGCAAATTCCACTGTCGAACAGCTCTTACTGTCAGGAAGTTCTTCCTAATGTTTAGGTGGAATCTTCTTTCTTGTGGTTTGGATCCATTGCTCCATGTCCGCTTCTCTGGAGCAGCAGAAAACAACCTTTCTCCCTCCTCTATGTGACATCCTTTTCTATATTTGAACATGGCTATCATATCACCCCTTAACCTCCTCTTCTCCAGGCTAAACATGCCCAGCTCCCTTAGCCGTTCCTCATAAGGCATCGTTTCCAGGCCTTTGACCATTTTGGTTGCCCTCCTCTGGACACGTTCCAGTTTGTCAGTGTCCTTCTTGAACTGTGGTGCCCAGAACTGGACACAGTACTCCAGGTGAGGTCTGACCAGAGCAGAATACAGTGGCACTATTACTTCCCTTGATCTAGATGCTATACTCCTATTGATGCAGCCCAGAATTGCATTGGCTTTTTTAGCTGCCGCGTCACACTGTTGGCTCATGTCAAGTTTGTGGTCAACCAAGACTCCTAGATCCTTTTCACATGTACTGCTCTCAAGCCAGGTGTCACCCATCTTGTATTTGTGCCTCTCATTTTTTTGCCCAAGTGCAATACTTTACATTTCTCCCTGTTAAAATTCATCTTGTTTGTTTTGGCCCAGTTCTCTAATCTGTCAAGGTTGTTTTGAAGTGTGATCCTGTCCTCTGGGGTGTTAGCCACCCCTCCCAGTTTGGTGTCATCTGCAAATTTGATCAGGATGCCCTTGAGTCCATCATCCAAGTCGTTGAT